GGGCGGACTCTCTTGTCATGTATGTGCGCACGTTGAATCTCAACACAACACAACTCCCTTGTGATCTGTGATGTGATCCACTTGGTAAGGTCGCTGTGTGGCTTTTGTATACATTGCCAACTGCCGTATGCCTTGTCCTCCCCTGCCTTGTCCTCCCCTGCCTTGTCCTCCCCTGCCATATGCCCCTCGCAAGCTCCCTCCCCTTGTTCTCCCCAGTGCGAGTTTGAGCAGTCAAGAGGCGATGCTGGTGGCGACCTCTTCCTTACTAATGCTCAACCCCTCACTCCTCCTCCTTTCTCCACCACCCCTCTCTTGCCTCCCTCCTCGTCCATCTCAGTGCGAGTTTGAGCAGTCAACAGGCGATGCTGGGGGCGACCTCTTCCTCTCTATATCTCATCCCTCCTCCACCACCCCTCCCGTACCTCCCTCCCTCCCCTTGCCCTCCCCAGGGCGAGTTTGAGGAGTCAACAGGCAATAGGCTGGGGGCGAACTCTTCCTCTCTATGCCTCAACCCCTCACTCCTTTCTCCACCACCCAAATCTTGCCCCCCTCCCTGTCCTCCCCAGTGCGAGTTTGAGGAGTCAACAGGGGATGCTGGGGGCGACCTCTTCCTCACTATTTCCCAGGAGCCCTTCCTCACTCTCAGGTGATTCTTCTGTTGCTTTCAGGTGATTCTTCTGTTGCTCTCGGGTGATTCTTCTGTTGCTTTCAGGTGATTCTTCTGTTGCTCTCAGGTGATTCTTCTGTTGCTTTCAGGTGATTCTTCTGTTGCTTCCACCAGACTTTGACCGCCTGCCTCACCTCCTCACTCTCTATGCTGTGCGCATGGGGAGGGAGGGAGGTGGAGACGAGTGTTGCTCACTCTGCCCGTGCCTTCCCCCCCGGCTTTCCCCCCCTTCTTGACTGGCAGTGAGAGCACTGCTGTTGAGCACCTGATAGAGCACCCCGTCATACCCACCTGATTTTGACCGCCTGCCGCATCTGCTCTCTCACCCTCTGTGCTCTCATGGGCAGGGAGGTGGAGGAACGTGTTGTCACTTGACTCGCTCCTTTCTCCCCGTCTCTCTCCCTTCTTGACCGACAGAGAGAGCACTTCCATAGGCCACCCCATGACCATGATACCACCCGCTTTGACCACCGGCCACATTTGCTCACTCTCTATGATGTGCACATGGGAAGGGAGGTGCAGACGAGTGTTGCCCTCTCAGTTCACTCCTTCTCCCGACTTTCCCCCCCTTCTTGACCGACAGCGAAAGCACAGCTGTGGAGCACAGCTGTGGAGCACCCGATCATTCCACCTGACTTTGACCACCGGCCACATTTGCTGACTCTCTGTGATGTGCGCATGGGGAGGGAGGTGGTGGCGAGTGTTGTCCCCCGGTTGACTCCTTCCCCCACCTAACTCTCCCCTCCTTCCTTGTGCGCCTGCCCACCCATATGCACATGAGCACAGCCGTGGGGCACTCCGTCGTACCACCCGACTTTGGCCACTTGCCTCACCTCCTGAATCTCTGTGCCGAGCGCATGTCCCTGTCTCTCTCCCCCTTCCTTTCCATGTGCCCGTCCTCCCGTATGCCCGTGAGCACTGCTGTGGACCACCGCTCTGGACCAGTCCGTCGTACCACCCGACTTTGACCAATTGCCTCACCTCCTGACTCTCTGTGCCAAGCGCATGGGAAGGGAGGTGGAGGCAAGAGCGGCCCCTCAGTTTACTCCTTCCCCCATACCCTTCCCCTCCCCTCCCATTCCCCCTGCAAACACCCCTCCTTGTGCGCCCGGCAGAGAGAGCCCCGCTCTAGTCCACTCCATCGTGACTTCTGTTCTGTTCCACCCATCTCCCCCGCCCCCACCCCCCCTGCAAACTCCCCTCCTTTCTTGTGCGCCTGGCAGGGAGAGCACCGCTCTAGACCACTCCATCGTGCCGCCCGATTTCGACCAGCTGCCGCACCTCCTGACCATCTGTGCCGTGCGGATGGGGAGGGAGGTGGAAGCGCGGACAGTGCATGAGTGGGTGAGCTACCACTGGCACCTTGGCGCCACTCAGTTCCGCCTATATGATGCTGGATCTATGGATCAGAGGTGAGCAAGCAACTGCTTACGAATGAATTCGGTAGACGCCTTAGTAGGGCGCTTGAATATGTGAGGGCTGTGCAGGAATGGGTGAGCTACCACTGGCGCCTTGGAGCCAATCGGTTCCGATTATACGATAGAGAGTCCCTTGATCCCTTGGATCAAGGGATCAGAGGTGAGAGTCTACCACATGGCCTTGCCTCGCTCTGTGTGCTTTGAAGGAGTGTGCGCATGGGGAGTGAGGTGGAAGCATGAACAGTAGAGGAGTGGGTGGGCTACCATTGGCAACTTGCAGTTCGCTGATACGACGCTGGATGAATGGATCAGAAATGAGAGTCTGTGTGCTTTCAAGTGCTGTGCGTGTGGGAAGAGGGGTTGCCGTGAGGGCAGCAGGAGTGGGTGAGCTAACACTGGCACCTTTGGCATCATCCTGTCTCGCTTGTATGATGCTGGACCTATGGATCAGAGGTGAGAGGCTGTGTGCTTTGAAGGGACGTGCGGATGGGGAGGGAGGTTGAGGCGAGAGCCACTGGCTTCCACTGGAAGGAGTGGGTGAGCTACTTCTGGCGCTGGGTCGCTCGACTACAAATGAGAAAGAACAGTCGGGTCTAGAAAATTCAGTTGGGTCTATTTAATTCCTCTGTTGGGAATCAGTCTGACTCCTCCCTCTGTTTCCTTAACTTTCCTTCTCTCCCCCATGCCCCCACCCAGCCTTGCCACGGTCCTAGACGCCTTCCTGCGCAACGACTCGATACAAGTCATCCCCACGGGCCACCTGTCCTTCTACAATATCGAGTACAACGCGCATGTGAGTACAGTACCGCGCTTTTTCCCATTCTTGCATCCCTCTCTCCATTCCCTCTGTTCGTCCTTCCTTTCGTCCTTCCTTTCGTCCTTCCTTTCGCCTTGCCACAACCCTTCCATTCCATCCTCCCCGTCAGTCCCTCAGCGCCCTAGGCTGTCTCTATAGCACACTGTTCACATCCAAGTGGGTAACTGTGTTACCACCTTACTGACAGCATTCCGTTTTCCCCACTTCCCCTTGCTTCTCCCCCTTCCCCCTCCCCCTTCCCCCTCCCCCTCCCCCCCAGTCCCTCAGCGCCCTGGACTGTTTCTACAGCACACACTTCACATCGAAGTGGGTAACCGTGTTACCCCCTTACTGACAGCATTCCTCGTTACCCATTCCCGTTGCTCCCCCCCCTTCCACCACCCCTCCCCCCCCCCCAGTCCCTCAGCGCCCTGGACTGCCTCTGCAGCACACATTTCACATCATCGTGGGTAACCGTGTTACTGCCCAACCTAAGCATTCCTCCTCCCCTAACTTTCCCCCCTCCTCCCCCCCGCGCACCAGTCCCTCAGCGCGCTAGACTGTCTATACAGCACACACTTCACATCCAAGTGGGTAACCGTGTTACCACCCGACAGCTACCTCTACATCGCCCCACCCCACACGCTCCCATCCTTCCTCGCCCACTACGCCTCTCGCCCGTGGCTCACCTACGGGGCGCACGAGTGGAGCACTGAGAAGTGCAGGGAGGGGATAGCATGGGAGAATGCAACGACAGAGGAGTGGATGGGGAAGAGGGAGGTCACTCCGTTTGTGGTTGAGTGGCTGGCGTATAGGAGGAGAGAGAATGTGTGCGAGGGGGGCGGGGAGGATCGGGAGAAGTGCATTGGGGAGCAAGGTCAACGGTCCCACTTCACCAACCCGAGAAAGGTACCTGGCTATGTATGAAAGCGGATCACACCATGCATTGTAGGCAAAGGCAGCGGCCGCATTTTACGATACCTGACTGGGTGTGTGGGGATAAGGAGAGAGGGGATAGCATGGGAGAATGCGACAACTGAGGAGTGGATGGGGAGGAGGGAGGTGACACCATTTGTGGTGGAGTGGCTGGTGTATCCGCGCAGGGAGAATGTGTGTGATGGGGGGGGGGGGAGGATATATATACATGGGTTCTGCTGTAGATGTATACATACACCGCAACATCTGCTCATTCCTGTTTCACTGCTTGTAGAATTATCAACATTACTCCCTCCCGCACCATTCCGATTCTCGGTTTTCACCCCTCCCACTCCTCCACCCCTCCCACTCCTCCACCCCTCCCAATTCCTCCACCCCTCCCAATTCCTCCACCCCTCCCAATTCCTCCACCCCTCCCATTCCTCCACCCCTCCCACTCCTCCACCCCTCCCATTCCTCCACCCCTCCCATTCCTCCACCCCTCCCAATGCCTCCACCCCTCCCAATGCCTCCACCCCCTTATCTAACCAGGCTGGAGTGTTAGCTTATAACGAGGTTAGAGAGACGGACAGCAGTGGGGAGCACGTGGCTTATAGCGAGATGCACAAAAACGTGTATCCGAAGCTGCACGAGAGGTCCGGGTTCAACCAGACCTGCCGAGAGGTCGGGGCAGCAGAGGAGTGGGATGGGTGGGTGCGGGACGTCACTGCAGCGGATTTCGCCAAGCTGCTGAGGAAAAGCCCGCCTCCAACGGCTTAGAAAACACAGCTTGTGATGTGAGCACTGAGCACTGAGCTGTAGAGGAGTGGGATGGGAGGGTGAGGGACGTCACTGCTGCGGATTTTGCCAAGCAGCTCAGGAAAAGCCTGCCTCCACAGCTCGTGATGTGAGCAGCAGAGTGGGATGGGTGAGTGAGAGATGTCACTGCAGCTAACTTTGCGAAGTTGAAGAAAATTCCGCCATCAACTGCTTGAGAGCACAGCTCGTGATGTGAGCAGCAGAGGAGTGGGATGGGTGAGTGAGGGATGTCACTGCAGCAGACTTAGGAAAGCAGTTGAATAATGGCCCTCCAGCAATGGCTTTAGGGCTCATCCCCCAAGTACTCAGCTTTAAGTATTTATAGGAACTTCAGCTGTAGCTAGCCCGTCAGCTCTTCTCGAGTCTGACTTCATAGAAAATGGATAATAGTTGGAACCCTAAAGCCTCATGATACTATTCCAAGGCTCGGCACTAGAGGGGCTCAGCGCAAGACTAGCATCCTAATACTCGGCGTCATACTACTAATCATCCTCTTCAAGGTACTCAGGAGCTAGCCTAGTGCCGCTGAGCAGCAGCAAGGGCAGGAAGGAGGCGGAAAGAGCGCCATGACTGCTGCTGCTTTAGTGCTCCTCAAAACAAGGCTAATCATCCTCTTCATAGAACTCAGAAGCTAGCCTGGCCCCGCTGAGGAGCAGTGAGGGTAGGAAGAAGGCAGCGGAGATTAGCGCCATGGCTGCTGCTGCCTTGGTACGGGCACAGAAGGTGTTGAAGGGCGTAGACCCCGTGCAGATGAAGGGGCGCCCTGGCAGGCCCTGGTCGTTCAAAGTGGTGATGGCAGCCGTGGCAGCGCCGGCAGAGAGGGCCATGGAAAGAGCAATCTGTGGGGGATGTGGGGGGGGTGGTGGGGGGACAGGGAGGGGGAATGCAGTGGTGCGGGTGCAGAAGGTGTCGAAGGGCGTAGACCCCGTGCAGATGAAGGGGGCGGCCTGGGAGACCCTGGTCGTTCGAAGTGGTGATGGCAGCCGTGGCAGCACCGGCAGAGAGGGCCATGGAAAGAGCAATCTGCGGGGGATGCATGGGGACACAGGGCATGTTGAAGGGGATCAGATAGAGCCTAGGTGAGGGCACAGAAGGTGTTGAAGGGCGTTGACCCCGTGCAGGTAAAGGGGCGCCCTAGGTGACCCGGTCGTTCAGAGTTGTTAGGGCAGCAGTTACAGCACCAGCAGAGAGGGCCATGGAGAGGGCAGTCCGTATAAAGTGTGTGTGGGTAGGGGGGATATGCCCCTGAGAGTGAATCACTCTGAGAAGGCCCTGGTTGATGAGAGGTGAGGGCAGTGCTTGCATTGCAGCACTAGCTGAGAGCGCATTGAGGGATACTAGTGGCAGGATGAGGGGCGGGGGGGAATACATGTGATTGGGAGGGGGGAATGGGAGGGAGGGGGAGAGACTGGGATGTGGGCAAAGGTGGCTTAAAAAGCCACTGACAACTCACAAAGTCGCCAATCACGATGGCCCACAGCAGCGCAGTCGAGTGCAGCATCTTCCCCGTAGCCGCCAAGAAGCAGTCCAGCAGCAGCATCAGCAGCGCCCAGAACCCCGCTATAACCGTCCCCGCTATAAGAAACGAGAACGCGTGCCAGTTGGAGAACCAAAGCAGCCCCGCGCCCGCGCGGATCATCACGGGGAACGCGCATACGGCCGCGGCGAGCTGCAGGAAGCGCAGCAGCGGGTTCAGCCACTGGGCGGCCTTTCTTGGACGCTTGCTGCGGAACCCGGATGGCTCGGGTCGACCCGCTTGTGTTTCCATGCTGGGTGAGGGAGGGTCTTGTGCTTGGGGGGTGACTCGTTGAGGGAGTGAAGCAGGTTGTTGTGGTAGCAGGTTACGAACGAGTTAGTACTGGGAGTAGAGGCGGAGAGTGATGCAGAGGTTACGGTAGTTAAGGAGCACGAGTGACAGAGATACTACCTAGTGGGTACAGCGAGAGCTAGTGCCTCGGAATTTGGTGTGAATGAGGCGATTTTCGAGTCTACTCAAAAATTTGGTGTGAATGAGGACGTAGGTAGCAGAGCGAATGAGAGTCGACTTCCGCCGGAGTGAACGGAACGGAATGGAGAGAAACTCGCGAAAGGACGAAAGGAGAAAGAAAGAGCGGCTCAAGCAGGACGCAAGGACGTAGCGAAGGCGATGGGGCCTTGGGAGGCAGTGGCGAGGGATTCGGCCGGTGGCGTGGCGCCAGATAGCGAGGAAAGCCAGGAGCGGGAGCAAGAAAGAACGCGCCGGCGGGATGGTGGTGCGCGCATGGCGGGAGGGGAGGATGGAGGGAGATAAGTGGAGGGGCCGGGTGAGCGGAGGGGACCCGTCCATGCTGTGGTAGACGACATGGCATATCCCGTGTCCTAGGTGCAGCGCGAAATTCTGAGCGACGAGGCGCGAATTTCGAAAGCTAGGGGAGCGCGAATTGTCGTCGTAGCACTCGCAAGGGGAGCGCGCGACCCCTGCCTTACTGCGTTACACGTGTGATCTGCACGCGAGACCTGCAGCTGTCGCCCTGCTTGCTTCAATTCGCGAGCTGTTTCGCGAAGCTTTCGCCAACTCGACGAGGTGCCACGTCAGCCTGGACCAGCTGTTTGGGGCCGACGAGGGTCGCGTGCATGGCTGCGGGGGATCGTGGGGAGAGGAGGGGGAGGGATGCGCGAAAAGTGCGCGAGGTTTGGGGGGTTGGGGGAGGGGAGCATGGGGACGTAGACCCCTCGGGGCATCAGCGAAACAAGCTCACTAGCGGCGCGAGGAAAAAGAATTCGTCGATGGGAATTTGACATTTCTTCTGCACTCTTCTCATTTCCGGCGAACTTGAGCGAAGCACGCATCCTGGCTCCCTGATGACTCCCGACCTTCACCAGTAACTACGACCCGTATTCCCGTATCGGCAAGTAGCACTCCTCTCTCGTTCAGGCACGAGAGGGTTCCTTCCGCGCTACACGCGAGTTGAGAAACATTTTCGTTTTCGGATTTAACAAGTAGGAGGCAAGATGGTGCCAGAGGGGGAAAGGCCAGCACCGACGGGGGAAGCAGCGGTTTCAGGAGAAAGAGGATCACGCGCGAAAGAAGTGGACACACGGAAGCGATCTCCTGACCAATGGGTGTCGCTCCTATTCAGGTGCCTCTCATCCAGAATAGCATCCTCTCAGCTAAATTCTTCCGATTTCTCTCGTTCCTGTTTCTTGTAGCCTCAGCGTCGTCAGAACAGAGACTGACCTGGTTCTCATTTTTTTTTTTTTCTTGTGATCTGTTCGTCCCCACAGATTCCTTCAGCTGGCCTCATCCGTCATATCCTTCGTGGTTCTGCTGACGGCTGGCCACCTGGACCTCACCTTCAGAGTAAGCATATGATCTGACAACATCGTTTTGTCTGCCACTGGTACCGTAAGTCCCCTCCAGTGAACACCTCTGACATGCTGGTTACCCCCCCTTTTTCCCCTCAGCTTCCAGCTCTCTTGCTGAACCTTTTCATCGCCCTGTGCTCCCCTCTTTCCAGAGGTACCAGGCGTTCCGCTATCTCCTGGCAGGTATGGTCATCACAGCTGCGTGGTCGCTCCTCATGCTGCTGGTCGAGCTCCTGCAGCTTGCCATGGGGCGCAAACTCAGGTCTCTCATTTGGCGCGGGCTCGTCTACCTCATGGACATTGTAAGCCCTCATTCCGCATGCTTCAGTCCATGCTAGTACTTTCTTTCTGCTGAATTCTGAATTTTATTTGTGAACCGATATGGTACTGCCCACCCCAATGCAGCTCATGGCCTTGGTTGCCCTCAGTGCTGGAGCTGCTGCAGCAGCAGTGACCACCTTTAATGATCGTGGGATTGTGTTATTCAACTATGCTCCATGTGTGGGGCCATCCCCATATTCTAGGTTTTGCTCACGAACCAAGGCTAGCACAGCATTCGCATTCATCACATTCTTTTTCTTCATTCCTCACATCTTGCTGTCTGCCATCTCTTATTTCATTCGTTTCTTTGAAGGTTAGCAAGAGAAGATGAAATTTGTCTAGAATTTTCATTACGTATATGAATAAAGTGGGGATTTCGTCCGAGACAAAAGTTGCAAAAGATGCTCATGTGTGTTCCGAACTTGATTATTGAGGTGTGGTCAAAAGCAAATCAATCAGTGGCCAGAATTTGCCGCTGCTTGCGCGCTCTACGGGTATCGTGGCCGTTAGATTCCATCTCCAAAATCGGATGGCCACAGACGACTGACACTCCACAGATCTGCGCGGGCTTTCAGGGAACTGTTCCACCCAAAACTGACGGAAGTCGTCAGGATACCCGTTTTCGGGAAACTCGTATTCCGTCTACAGACGCGTTTCTGTTCCGTCTACAAACGTTTGCAATTGTGAGGTCTGCTCCAGTTCTGCTCTTCCCTTGGGAACTCCAAAATCCCTCTTGCTTTGATCAGGCATCTCTGAGAGCTTTCTTTACCCAGGAGGAACCTACCAGCATGCTCACTGCGAGTTAGAGATTTATTCCTGTGAAAGGTAGTCAGGTGCATCGTTCAGGGTTCGGCTGACCGTCCTCGATACCTAACTCAGCGCGTCCCCGTAATCCGTATTCTCAGTTCCGCACTTTGCTGCTGGACCTCGTCGTGTCGAAACCAAACTTATTAATCTCAGCCCCTAAGATCGCAGCAAGTATGGCGGAAGCAGCGGCAGCATGGCAGCCGTCAGAGCAGGGAGCGAACGAGATCTGCACGCTGCTGCACGAATACCTTAAACCAGGCGTTGATCAGGCGCGAATCTTCCAGGAACTGCAGCGATGCAGCCAATTCCCAGATTTCAACAACTACCTCGCGTTCCTCTTGTGCAAGGGAGAGGTGCGAGCTGTCGTTTCCTAACGATCTGTGAGGTAGTAATTTCAGATTCCAACTACTGCCTCGCATTCCCTTTTGTGCGAGGGAGAGATTTGCGAAGTCGCCGTTCAATGTACGATGGAAAACGGAGAAGTGTATGCGCCACTTTATCTGGTTTCTGGTTGTTTAGTCCGAGAGTTTCTGTAGTTTCCAGGTCCAGAGTGTTACTTCGTGACTGGAGGTTTCTTAAACGGTCTTCGGTTTTCGACGGAGGTTTCGTTCACGGACGCATGGGAAAGGGGTTAGCCAGTCTTTCATAAAGGATTAGTCAATGTAGCATCAGGGGTCAGTATTTCTCAGCTCGATTCGACTGGCCGCCTTAGTATCGATGTCTGACAGCTGGATCACTGAACATCAGGCCATGCTAGGATCGTATCATTCGGTGCTGTCACGATCAGGCTGATCGTTACGCGATCAGATTGGTCGTTACGCAGTCAGACTGGTCGTTACGCGATCAGACTGGTCGTTACGCAATCAGACTGGTCGTTACGCGATCAGACTGGTCGTTACGCGATCAGACTGGTCGTTACGCGATCAGACTGGTTGTCACGCGATCTTCAGTATTGAGTCTTTAGTCTTGCCTCGTTGCTCACTTCTCCCTCCAAACCGCCCCCCTTACTTAACCCCCCCCACCCTTCTCCCCTTCCCCCCCCTTCACGCAGAATGAACCAGTGGAAGAAGTCCGTCAGAGCCCCGGTTCCGTCTGAAGAACAACCTGCGAACCGGCTACGAAAACCTGAACCCCGCTTGAGTCAACTCAAACACCCTCCCCTCCTCCCCCCTCCGTCGCCTTCCCGCTTCACACCCGCCCCCCTTACCCACTTCGTCCCCCGCAGAACCAACCAGTGGAAGTCCGTCAGAGCGCCGGGCTCCTCCTGAAGAACAACCTGCGAACGGGCTACGAGAACCTGAACCCGGCATACCTGGGGTATATCAAGGCGCTTCTGCTGCCCTGCATAGGCCTCCCGGACCACCAGCTACGCGGTACAGTAGGAACCGTTATCTCTACTATTGTGGAGCAGCAGGGCGGGCTGCACGCGTGGACGGACCTGTTGCAAGTGATGCTGCAGTGCTTGGACTCGAACGACTTCAGCCACATGGAAGGGGCTTTGGACGCTCTTTTTAAGGTCAGTTAGCGGATGTGCTTGTATTGAGAGCATTCATTTCTCTCATGTTGCAAGGGATGCTGCAGTGCTTGGACTCGAGCGACTTGAGCCACATGGAAGGGGCGCTGGATGCGCTTTTTTAAGGTCAGTCGATGGATGAGATGGTGTTGGAAGTCTCTTGGTCCGTTGGTGTTACCAGTGATGTTTCAGTGACTCGCTCTCCCGTCCCTTCCTCGTCCCTCCTGTTCCTTCCACCGACTTCAGATGAGCTAGGGCATGCCGGCTCTGCAGCTGGACCGGGACATCCCATGACAGAGCGCCCCATCATCGTTCCCATACACCTTTCCCATACTCGTGCCGCATGCTCCTCCTGCTCCTCTCCTCCCATCATCACCCCCCCCCCCCCCCCCCCGCCCCCTCTCTTTCATATGATCGAGGACATGCCTCTCCAACTCGACAGGGACATTCCGCTAGGGTGGTCTAGCGGAGCACCCTATCGCCGCCTTCCTGCCCCATGCTCCCCATACTCCTCTGCCAGCTCTTTCCCATTCTCCTCCCCCTCATGTCCCTCCCTCCTACTCATCCCATCCCCCCGTACCCCAGATGAGCGAGGACATGCCTCTGCAGCTGGACCGGGATATCCTCGGGCTGGCAGAGCGCCCCATCACCATCTCCGTGCCGGTGCTCCTCATAGTCCTCTGCCTGATCGCTCGTTCCCCCCCTACCTTCTTTCCCCCCCTCCTCCCCCCCCCCTCCCCAGATGAGTGAGGACATGCCGCTGCAGCTGGACCGGGACATCCCAGGGCTGGCAGAGCGCCCCATCACCGTCTTCCTGCCGCGCCTGCTGCAGCTCTTCGCCTCGCCGCACGCCACCCTGCGCAAGATGGCGCTGGGGAGCGTCAACCAGTTCATCCTGCACATGCCGCGGGTGGGTATGGGGGTTGCTGCTGGGAGCACACGAAGTGTTCATGTGGCATGTATGCAGACTGCCTGCTGCAGCTGTTGGGGTCCCCGCACGTGAGCCTGCACAAGATGGCTCTGGGACGCGTCAACCAATTTATCCTGCACATGCCTCGGGTGGTTGTGGGGGGTTGCTGCGGATAAGCACACGTAGTGTTCATATGGCATGTCTTGAGAGCGCCTGCTGCAGCTGTTCGGAAACCCCCCCATGCCAGCCTGCTCAAGATGGCTTCCTTTGGGAAATTTGAACCAGTTCGTCTAGTCCGTGTGAGCCACGGATGGGTGTTGTGTTGGGGGTGGGGAGTGCGCATGGCACTGGTTCGTGCATCTAGTGTGTATGTGTCGCGTCTGCTGTGTTCGCCTCAGGCAAAGGGCTCAGCAGCGGCAGCCTCAGGCGAATAGGCAGCAGCACATGCCACGGGTGAGCATCGGGCAGAGCCGGCAAACTGTTTCGAGCTCTCCGTTGCCCACAGCTCTGCCTGCTGTGAAGCACCTGATTTTTCCCCCTCTTACCAAGTCCCCTCCTCCCCCTTCCCCCCACCCCTCCTCCCCCTTCCCCCTACCCTTCCTCCCCCTTCCCCCCACCCTTCCCCCCCTTCCCCCTTCCCCCATGTCAGGTGCTTCTTGTGAACATGGATAGCTACCTGCAGGGCCTGTTTGCTTTGGGGTCCGACCCCACCCCAGAAGTCCGCAAGCTGGTAAGCTAACCCTAGTCGGCGTGTGGCCTCTCCCCCCACTGCTCCCATAAAATTCTACCTCCCTTTGACGCCCCCGTCTCCACTTAGCCCCATTCCGCTTAGACCCTGCTCCCATCCCCACCTCCCCCCCCCACCTCCTCCTCTCTGCTTCCGCACCGCACCTACCATAGAAATCCGCGCTTGTTGTTGAGTCGACTCAAAGTTCACCTCGTTACAATGTCACGCATCACCCTTTTCTCTCAACTTCTCGTTCTGTAAGTGCTGACCCCTGCAGGTCAGCAATTGTGGTTCAGACCCTTCACATTTCCTGCGCTACACGTGTCGTTTCCTGTGGCCCCTGGGCGCTGATTGCAGGTCTGCTCAGCTGTGGTTCAGCTGATCGAGCTGCAACCAGACTTTCTCCATGTGAGTAGATGACAGAATTCACGGGCGCCTCAGAAGTCGCCTGAATTAACTTTCCCAGGGCTGATTGATCAGCTGTGGTTTGTCCGCTCAGCTGTGGTTCAGCTCATCGAGCTGCAAGTTGCAACCAGGCTTCCTCCATGTGAGCACCTTCCTTTCGCGCATGCTGACCCACCTTTCGCTTTTCTCTGGCGAACCCAACCCGCCCCCTCCCACCACCACCACCATCACCACCACTTCACACTCCCTTCCCCTGCCTGCCGCACATGCGCAATGTGGTCGAGTACATGCTGCATTCCACCAGGGATGCAGATCCACCCTTCCGTATCTCCTGCCTGTCCCCTCCTTACTCGCTCCTCCCCTCCCCCCCTCCCTCCCCCCCCCAGCCGCACATGCGCAACGTGATCGAGTACATGCTGCATTCCACCAGGGGCGCAGACCCATCCTTACCCTATGTCCCCTCCCCCTCCCCCCCCCTCTCTCCCCGCTTCCCCCCCCCTCCCCTCTTCCCGCTTCCCCCCCACCCCCTCCCTCCACTCTCCCCCCAGCCTCACATGCGCAATGTGATCGAGTACATGCTGCAGTCCACGCGGGATGCTGACCCCGATGTGGCTCTGGAGGCGTGCGAGTTTTGGTCCGCCTACTGCGAGAACAACCAGTCGCCCGAGATGCTGCGCGAGTTCCTGCCACAGCTCGTCACGGTATGTGATTGCGCCCGCTTATCGCATACATTATTCCGAACATGTTCACACGACCTAAAAAGAAACAATTCCAATTCCAACTAGCAAACCCTCATCCCGCCCGTTTATTCCTCACCCACCATGCTTGTGCATCGCCCCCAACCAGGTGCTGCTGACGAACATGGTGTATGCGGACGATGATGAGGCGGTCATAGATGCGGAGGTGAGCGCTGGGTGCACGTGCTGGTGTGCAGGCGAAAGCATAGCATGGGAGCATGAGGAGTAGGCCAGGACAGCATGGTGTATGCGGATGATGATGAGGCGGTCATAGATGCGGAGGTGAGCGATGGGTGCATGCAAAAGATAGCTTGATTTCATGCTCCTGCTGGTTTGGTTTGTCCACGTGGTTTTTATGCGCGGACGCATACACCAAGGTGTTGTTGACTAACAGGATGAGAGCGTATGGGCCTGCCTCTGTGTCAGTCAACCCATACCCCCGTACCATGTTCCCCCACCCAGCTTCCCATGTCACCCCTTTCTTTTTTCTTGCGCCTCCATGGGCCATATTCTCACAATCATGTGCTTCGCTTCCCTTATCTCATGATCCAGTCCCCCCATTCGTGAGTGATTTTTGAGTCGACTCAAAAATCATGATCCCGTCCAGCCCCCCCATTCGTCCATACTTCCACACTCCCCGTCAACTGTCTACCCAAATTGCAGGGTGACGCTCTTATTTTTGGGGCGCCTCAAAATTGGTTATCTCATGATCCGTCCCTTCCCATTGGTCCATCCTGCCACACTCCTCCCCTGCATGTAATTTCCTACCCAAATTGCAGGACGAGGGTGACGCTCCTGACTCTGATCAGGTGGGTCCCACCCATCCCATCCCATCCCATGCTCCTGCCTGCCGGTTGCCCTCATCACATGATTGTTTTGATCCATCTGAATCATCTGATCACATTGTGGCCCCACCACGTGATGCTCTATCCATCCATCCATCCATCCATCCATCCATCCATCCATCCATCCATCCATCCATCCATCCATCCATCCATCCATCCATCCATCCATCCATCCATCCATCCATCCATCCATCCATCCATCCATCCATCCATCCATCCATCCCATCCATCCATCCATCCATCCATCCATCCATCCATCCATCCATCCATCCATCCATCCATCCATCCATCCATCCATCCATCCATCCATCCATCCATCCATCCATCCATCCATCCATCCATCCATCCATCCATCCATCCATCCATCCATCCACCATCCACCCAACCACCCAACCACCCAACCACCCGTCCGCCCGCCCGCCCGTCTGTCCATCCATCCATCTACCTGGAATCTGTTTTTCTTTCCTTTTTCTGTCACTCACGCCCGTTCGCTTCCTCCACGCCGCTTGCTTCTGCAAGTCTCCTCTCATAAATATCTTAGCATCTCCCCCATCACTCCTTCTGGACGTCGCTCCCCCCCTTTCCTCTCTTTCTCCTCTCTTCCTCCTCCCTTTCCCCTCTCTTTCCCCTCCCAGGATCTGAAGCCGCGCTTCCATCAGTCCAGGCTGCATGGTGCCACTGGCGAGGTGAGGTTGACTTGAGTTGACTTGGGTTGACCTGAACAAATGGACCCGCCTGACTTGAATTGACTTGAGTTGACCTGAGAGAGTACCTGATTCGATGAGTGGACTTTCAGTATTTTCAACTTGTCCGACCATCGTGTGTTTCAACCCCCTGCCCCCACCCCCTCTCTCCTGTTCTCTCACCCCCACACACCCAGACACATTTACCCCCCCCCTTTCCCCTCCCCACACACACACGACAGGATGCGGAGGAGGACTGTGATGAGAGTGCAAGCACATGGAATCTGCACAACTGCAGCTCAGCAGGGCTGGACATCCTTGCCCCCTCCGCTCACCCACCCCCCTCGTTTTCTCCTACCCCGCTCTCTCTCCCTCGCACGCACACTCCCCCACCCCCCAAACACCAGGACGCGGAGGAGGACTATGATGAGAGTGCAAGCACGTGGAATCTGCGCAAGTGCAGCGCAGCAGGGCTGGACATCCTCTCACACGTCTTTGGGGACGCTCTTCTGCCCATCCTCATGCCGCTCATCCAGGTAATACTGAACCCATCAGCTGCTGATTCAGGTTCTCTAGAACCCAACCCGTACCATCCTTGCAAGCAAGTGCAGCGCGGCTGGGCTGGACGTCCTCTCTCACGTCTTTGGGGACGCTCTGCTGCCCATCCTCATGCTGCTCATCCAGGCCTGTCGTTCTCATCAAAATCTCTCCAGCAACAGCCCTCCCTGGAGTTATCCCTCTCCCTGTCTCCCTTCCCCCCTCAGCCGATGCTAACCATCACTGTGCCTTCCTACCTCGTTCTCCCTCCCTCCTTCCCCAACCCCCCGACCTCTCCTCCTGTCTCTCACTCACCAACCAGACGAACCTGGCCGATCGCAGCGAGGCCAAGTGGAAGGAGCGGGAAGCATCCGTTCTAGCAGTGGGCGCGGTGGGCGAGGGCTGCATCGACGGGCTGCTGCCCGCGCTGCCCCAGATGATCGCGCACCTGCTGCCGCTGCTAGAAGACCCCCACCCCCTCGTGAGGAGCATCACGTGCTGGACGCTCTCACGGTACTCCAAGTGGATTGCGCGGGCCGTGGATAAGCCCGAGGGGCAGCAGCAGTTTGACGCGGTGCTGACGGGGTTCCTGGCGCGGATTCTGGATAACAACAAGAGGGTGCAGGAGGCTGCTTGCTCCGCGTTCGCCACACTAGAAGAGGTGAGCCTATTGAGGGGAGAGGTGATGCGTTGAAGAGGGCAAGGGGTGGAGAGGTGAGAGGGTTAAGGGAGTGCAGGGGTGAGAGGGCAAGGAGAGGAGAGGTGAGACGAGTGCAACAGTGTGGAGAGGGGAGAGGGGGAAGAGTGAGTGCTGAGCTGAAGGGGTGAGTGGCTGCTTGGGCACAGGATTAGTTTCTCTTCCAATGTGCCCAATGCCTTTCCCCTGCTCAACCTGCATCCCACCTTCTGAATCTCACCTTCTGAATCTCACCTTCTGAATCTCACCTTCTGAATCTCACCTTCTGAATCTCACCTTCTGAATCTCACCTTCTGAATCTCACCTTCTGAATCTCACCTTCTGAATCTCACCTTCTGAATCTCACCTTCTGAATCTCACCTTCTGAATCTCACCTTCTGAATCTCACCTTCTGAATCTCACCTTCTGAATCTCACCTTCTGAATCTCACCTTCTGAATCTCACCTTCTGAATCTCACCTTCTGAATCTCACCTTCTGAATCTCACCTTCTGAATCTCACCTTCTGAATCTCACCTTCTGAATCTCACCTTCTGAATCCCACCCTCTGAATCTCACCTTCTGAATCGCATCCCCCTCCGCCTGCCCGTCCCCCTGCCCTCCACCTGCCCTTCAACCCCCCCCCCCCCCCCGCCTGCCCTTCACCCCCCCCTGCTTCCCCTTCCCCCCCCCCCTCTCTGCTTGCCCTTTGACTCTCCTCCCTCCGCCCAAGCTCACCTGAGCAGGAGGCAGTGGATGAGCTGCCTGATCGCCTGTAGCCTATTCTGGTTGCCATTGTTCCCATAACCACTCTGCTTCCTCTTCTCCCCCCTATACCCTACACTTGTTCCGATCCAACCTGAGCAAGAGGCAGTCGATGAGCCTATTTTTTAGGCGCCTCAAAAACACGCTCTGCTTCCTCTTCTCCCCCCTATACCCTGCGCCTGTTCCAATCTCACCTGAGCAGGAGGCGGTGGACGAGCTGCCTGATCGCCTGGAGCCCATTCTGCAGCACCTCTCCTTCGCGTTTAGCAAGTACCAGGTGATTTCAACAGAGATTCAGGAGATTTCAACAAGTTTCAGGTGATCCCAGTGCAGTGTTGCCGTGTCGCAAGCAGCCTTTGCATTCGGTACGATGCTGAGTTGGTTTTTTCAGAATTCAGAAAAAACTAACTGGGCAATCTCCTCTCACCCCCCTGCTCGTCCTCCTCTCTTCCTTGCACCCTCCACTCCACACCCCTACGCCTGCCGCTCCCTCCTTCCATGATGCAGTGAGTGCTCTGGTGGGCTGTGCACCCTCAGCCGTCCACCCTTTCTCCTCTACTCCTCTCTCTCTCTCTTTCTCCTTCCTGTTTCCCCTCTCGTCCTGCCCTTACCCCATCCCCCCGCCCCCCAACCCAACCATTCCCCTGTGCAGCGGCGCAACCTGCGCATTCTGTACGACGCAGTGGGCACTCTGGCAGACTGTGTGGGAGGGACGCTGCAAGATGTGAGTGTCTGTGGTTGTGAGATGGAGGGGGGATGCAAGATGTGAGTGACTGGGGTGGTGGTGAGGGAGGGGGAATGCAAGTTGTGAGTGACTGTGTGAGGGGGAGAGTGATGCAAAACGGGTGACTGTATGGAGGATGAGGATGCAATATGTGAGTGATTCTTGAGAGAGAGTGCAGGGGGGGGGGGGGGAGAAGGGGAGGGGGTGAGGGGGGGCAAGATGTGTGTGACGTGGCTATGTAAGGGAAAGAGGGGGGGGGGGGGGGAGGAGGGAGATGTGCATGATTGTGGCTGTGATGATATCTTTTGCGCTTCTCATTCGCTTCTCTTCCATCCTTGCCTGCAAACAAGGAAGGTGGACCCTCAATCTATCATCCCCCACCTTTACTCCCCTCTTCCCCCCCCACCCCCCCCTCCTATCCTTTCCCCCTTCCTCCCCCAGCCGCGCTACATTGCCGTTCTGATGCCCCCTCTGACTGCCAAGTGGCAGCAGATCGCGGACTTTGATCGCGACATCTTCCCCCTCCTCGAGTGCTTCACCTCAGTGGCTCAGGCCCTGGGGCCCGCCTTTGCTCCCTATGCTGAAACTGTGCTGGCGCGCTGCTGCCACATCATCAGAGTGCAGCTCGTGGCAGAGGTAAGGGATTGGAGGGGGTTCAAGTAGGGTATAGTGCGGTGACGAGGGGTGAAATGCGGTGGAGAGAGATTGGTCTGTCTGTGGCTCAGGCCCTGGGGCCGGCCTTTGCTCCCTATGCTGAAACTGTGCTGGCGCACTGCTGCCACATCATCAGAGTGCAGCTCGTGGCGCAGGTAGGTGGAGAGGGGTGTAGAGCGGTGAAGCGGGTTGTCAGGGAGATAGGTCTGTGGGTAGATCTGTGGCTCTTTCCCTTGGGGCCGTCTTTGCTCCCTACGCTGAAACTGTGCTGCTGAAGCAGTGCGCTGCCATATTGTTAGAGTGTTGGTGGTGGCACAGGCATTGCATGTATTGGTGTGATGCGTTGAAGAAGGGTGTTATGAGCAGAAGGACCCAGCAGCAGCAGGTGCGGCGTATGACAAGGAGTTCATTTCATCGTGTTGTGTGCTCTGGATCTGAGCTCCCATCTCCTTCCCCACCTTCCCCTCTCTCTCCTCCCTTCACCCCTCCCTCTCCCCCCCCGCGAGCAGAAGGACCCAGCAGCAGCAGGCGCGGCGTACGACAAGGAGTTCATCGTGTGCGCTCTGGATCTGAGCTCCGGAGTCACCGAGGCCCTCGGACCGTCGATTGAACCACTAGTGAGTCATCTGCTATAAGATGCAGCTAGCTAACCACTAGTTAGTTAATCATTGTATTGTATACCGCCTTTGACCACCACTAGCAATGATAAAAATGGTACAGCTATGCTTAGCGACGCGATTTCCTCCCATCTCCCCTCCTTCCTTCTTCCCCCATTCGTTCCGGCTGATCCCTGCTGTTCCCATTCCCACCACCAGACTGCCAAGAGCGACTTGAGGGACCTGCTCCTGCAGTGAAAAGCAAATAATCCCTCCCTCGCTTGGCCCTTTTCCCCATGCTTTGCCGCCCACGCTTGCCCCCTTCCCTCTCTCCCTCCGCCACCAGATCGCCAAGAGCGACCCACACTGACGCTTGCCCTCCTCTCTCTCTTTCCCTCCACGTCCAGATCGCCAAGAGCGACTTGAGGGACCTGCTCCTGCAGTGCTGTGCCGTGGACGCCAACGATGTCAAGCAGAGCTCGCTGGCACTGCTGGGTGACTTAACCAAGGTGTGCTTTAGTTTACTGATGCGGTAGACACAGCAGGGGATGTAGGGCGTTGATGGGAGATAGCAAGTGCTCCTGCAGTGCTGTGCTGTGGACGCCAATGACGTCAAGCAGAGCTCGCTGGCGCTGCTGGGTGACTTAACCAAGGTGGTTGTGTGGGCGGGCATCATCATTGGTGGGCATCATCATTGGCGGGCATCATCATTGGCGGGCATCATCATTGGCGGGCATCATCATTGGCGGGCATCATCATTGGCGGGCATCATCATTGGCGGGCATCATCATTGGATATGCACACCAACCAAGACCCGCCCTCGTCTCAACAACGTCCTCATTGGATATGCACATATGCAGGGTCTGTGAGATAGCCGCTGAGGGACGCCAGGAAACTTCTTGGACTCACATCTCTCCTGTCTTCCCCCTCTCCTCCTACCCCCCTCCTCTTTCCACCACTCCCTCCCCTACCTCTCTCTCCCTCTCGCTCGCCAGTCGTGTGTGCAGCAGGTACGGCCCCGTCTCAACGACCTCCTCTTGGTGTTTGTGGGGCAGCTGAAGGCTTTAAAAGAGTTATATAACCCCCCCCCCCGCCCCCCAACCCTTCCCCTCTCTCCAGTCGTGTGTGCAGCAGGTGCGCCCCTGTCTCAACGACTTCCACTCGGTGTGTGTGGCGCAGCTGCAGGGCTAAAAGATAGCTATTGAGAGGCCAGGAAGCTTCTTGGGCTCACGTATCTCCAGTCTCCCTCCCTCTTTCTTCCCCTCCCTCCCTTTCCTCTCTCCCCCCTTCTCCCTCCAGTTGTGTGTGCAGCAGGTGCGCCCTCATCTCCACAGCTTCCTCGGTGTGCATGCGGCGGGCAGCTACAGGCTTTGAGAGAAAATATAAGCCCCCCACCCCCCCCCTTTCCCTCTCGCCCACCAGTCGTGTGTGCAGCAGGGGCGCCCCCGTCTCAACGACTTCCTCTTGGTGTGCGTGGCGCAGCTGAACGGGTGGATTCATCCTCAGCTTGAGACTCATCCTCTTCCCCCCTCTCGCCCTATCTCCCCCTCTCTTCCTCTCCAGTCGTGTGTGCAGCAGGTGCGGCCTCGTCTCAATGACTTCCTCTCGGTGTGCGTGGCGCAGCTGAACGGGCCCGAGTCGTTTGTGCACGAGCGGATCTCAGTGGCCAACAACGCGTGCTGGGCTCTTGGAGAACTTGCCGTCAAGGTATGTTAGTGGTAGTAGCTGTCAACAGAGAAGGTATGTGAACTGGCAGCGAAGGTATGTGCATGAGAGGGCTTCTGTTGCGAGCAATGCCTTTTGAGTCGACTCAAAAGATGACTTTTGAAACCCATTGACTTGGTTGACTCCGTTGACTGTGCTTGAGGAGATCGCCCCAACCGTGGTGCCAGTGCTCAACAACATCATATATACCCTCACTCTATTGACTGTTTTGAACCCCGTTGACTCAGTTTTCTCTGTTGACTCTGTTGACTGCAGGTGCGGGAGGAGATCGCCCCAGCAGTGGTGCCAGTGCTCAACAACATCGTGCCCGTCCTCACATCGGCACAAAACCCAAGGGTGAGAAGAGCCGCATTGACCGCATTGACCACATTGATCACATTGACCGCATTGACTTGCCTTGACTTGTTGGGGCCTCAGTGCTCAACAACATCATGCACGTGAATGATTGTGTGTGTGCCCACCCTCTCTTCCACGTGCCCGTCTCCCCTCTCCGCTACGCTTTCGTTGTCGGTTCGCCCCTACTCTCCATCCTTGCCCACAATCTCGCCCTCGTTCCCTTCCAGGGCATCAACCTAGCCTTGGTTGAAAACTGCGCCATCACGCTCGGGCGCTTTGCATGGGTGCGTCCATCTAGGCGTGCCCGGACGTGCTCCTTTGCCTCCACTTCACAGTCTTCGCTCCCCTGCACTGTTCCTTCCACACCCCCCCGCCCCCCCCCCCCCCCACCACCCAGGGCACCAATCTAGCCTTGGTTGAAAACTGCGCCATCACGCTCGGGCGCTTTGCATGGGTGTGTCCCGACGTGCTGGCGCCTCAAGCGTCCCACTTCTTGGTTCCCTTCCTCAACACGCTCAAAGGGTACGTGACATGAGATGTGGCCAGTGGACAGACACACCCCTACTCCCACTTCTCTCAGTTCTCAGTGGATATTCGGCACGTGCTGGCGCCCCAGGCCTCCCACTTCTTGGTTCCCTTCCTCAACACACTCAAAGCGTGCGTTGGATTGACGTTTCTGACAGTCAGTTCGCCTGTCTCTCGAGCTATCCCTCCGCTAAAGTTTCTCCTTGAAGTTTTCCTCCAGCTTTGGGTTTAAAACTTAGGTTCTCCCTTGAGTCATTCATCAAACTGCATGAACATGTGGCTCTAGACGTACTATGCACAAATGATTGAGGGGGCAGGCAGGGGGTCGTCTGCTTCTTTCTTTTGCATATCTCGGTTGCCTGTCCCCCTGCCCCCTCTTTCTCCCCCTCCGCAACCCCCCCTCTTTTTGCCCCGTCCTTCACCAACGCGTCCCCCCCCTCTCTGCCCCTCTCCCCCCCCCCCAGCATTCGTGATGACGTGGAGAAGGAGGAGGCGTTCAAAGGGTTGTGTGCTGTGGTGAGTCGTACTGTTACTCCTGTGCTGTCCCCCAGACTGCTGTTGCTGTGCTGTCCCCCATACAGGCTCTCTTCCTGTGGGGTTCTTCGTTGTTTTTTCACTGACATATCACTCGTTCCTGGCAACCTCATCCCTAAATCACTCATATCGAACCTGTTCCCTCCCATCAACTCCCATGGCAGCAGCCACTGCCACTGCCATCCACCCTCCTCTCCTCGCCTCCCACCCATGTGACCATTCCTCCCATGTCTCCCATACTCCCGTTACCCCCTTATTCCAGTTTTGAGGCGCCTCGTTTTGAGGCGCCTCGTTTTGAGGCGCCTCGTTTTGAGGCGCCTCAAAACTAGACTCACATACTCCCGTTACCCCCTTATTCCCGTTACCCCCTTATTCCCGTTACCCCCTTATTCCCGTTACCCCCTTATTCCCGTTACCCCCTTATTCCCGTTACCCCCTTATTCCCGTTACCCCCTTATTCCCGTTACCCCCTTATTCCCGTTACCCCCTTATTCCCGTTACCCCCTTATTCCCGTTACCCCCTTATTCCCGTTACCCCCTTATTCCCGTTACCCCCTTATTCCCACACACCAGTTGCGCCTGAACCCCATGGCTGCATCCACCGCCATCCACCCTCTGCTCCTCGCCATCGGCAGCTGGAGGGTAGGTCTCCTAGGTCTGCTTTTGAGCTAACTCAAAGGTTTGTACATTCTAGCATTCAACTTGCGTTTCAATTCCTCCCTCGCTCCTCTCCCTGTCCCATCTCCCGTTTCCCGTCCCTCTTCCCCCCTCCCCTCCCTCCCCCCCCCCCCCTCCCCCCCGCCTTGGCGTTTTACAACTGCCTGCGCACTTCCCCTCCTTCCACCTGCCTCTCATTCGCTCACTGATTAGCATGCACGCACACACACACTCACACACACACTTACCCATTAGTCTGTGCATGCCGCATGCACATGCTGCGCACAGGCAAAGCAACGCTTGTGCACTCCTCGTACCCCCCATCCAAACCATCCCCCTTATTGGCATCCTCAGGAGATCCACAGTGCGGAACTGAAGGCTGAGATTCACCAGCTGCTGCAGGGCTTTAAGCAGGTGGGTCTAAGGCGAGGAAGGCAAGCGAATTTAGGGGGTGTACAGTACAGGCAGAGAGGCTGGGCGGGAAGTGGAGGAGTAGGAAAATGTGCCGAGGCTTAGGGCGTATTCCTACTTTAGCGTGTTCAGTACCAGAAAACCAAACTTGGCGAACTACGGAGTCGAACCGCACAGGACTATGCGGTTCGACAGTCGAACCTCACTGTATCGCGGTTCAGACTCAATTTTGGGTTTGCTGGTACTGAACACTGTACTGTAGGAAGACGCCCTTAGGTGCCATGCCATGCCATGCCATGCCATGCCATCTGGTCAGGTGCTGCTAGTGGGCCTGGCTGTCCGGCTCTTCCGCGCTTCAACCTGGTTCCTTCAGATTTTTTTGTGTGTTTCTGTGCCACCATGCAGTTGCTGGCACAGGCAGGTGCGTGGTGTGGTGGGGCTTGCTGCAGGACTATTGGGCTTATCCGGCTCTCTTACATGCAGTAACCTGAGTCTTCTGTTATGCTCTGTTCTTTCTTCCCATGCATGTATCTATGCCCTACATTCAGATGCTTGTGGAGGCAGGGACGTGGGATCAAATCCTGCAGTCCACAGAAAAGCTGCTGCTGCAGAAGCTCAGTGCGACGTATGGCATCTAGTCTCCCTCTCACTACTACATCAAGAGCATTAGTGGTGAGGCGTATGTATGGGGACTTAGCTGCAACATTGCTTAGATACACCACTTAGCGCGGGATGTAGGGATGTAGTTGCAGCACTGCGAGTGAGTGCCTTAGATCGCAGCACAGGGCATGTAGTGGGATTTGAGGCATGGGAGTTGTGTAGATGTCAACAGTATAGGGGAAACCACCCGACAGCAGGTCGTTCTGTGTCAGGAGAGGGGGTGATGTGGCAGCTGATGTGGCCCATGATGTGGCGGCTGATGTGGCGGCTGATGTGGCACCTTTCGTCGTCAGGCTGGATCAGATCGCAGCAGAGGATAGCAGTGAAGTTGCGAAGGGGGTGTGTTATATAGGCAGGAAGGTCCTACGAAGTAGGATATGGAGCAAGTAGAGAAAGTGAGCAGTCTTCATCCTTCCATCAAGCAGGGAGGAAAGGAAAATGGGATTTGCAAGCTTGCCCGAAGGGGCTTCTCGACAGAAGCAGCAGCAGCAGCAGCAGCAGCAGCAGCAGCAGCAGCGGGACCAAGTGCAACAGCACTTAACAAGATTTGATCCTGATTAGATTTGATGCGGCTCCCCCCAACCATCTCTTCGCCGACCTTCACACACGCCACCGTCCACCCCACTCAACCGCTCCAAGCATCATTCCATCCCATCTTATCCACCCATACCCATTCCCATTAACCACCCATACGGGGGCATGCTGACATCATGCTGACATCATTTAGGAGCACTCTGACCAATCAGAGTGCAGTAGGGGGAAGCATGGTGGGCAGCGCATTGCTGCTGCCATGACATCCACCGACCAATCATATCACACCTCCATCATCGGCTACAGAGGATGCCACACCAGATGCTGTATGTGCCACATAATCGCTACGGTGTATGTCGTATGGGACTCGGCTGGGTTGGGCTTCAAGCACTTGGGGGTGCAGGTGGTACACCAACCTTTTGAGAGCACCATACCATAAATGGTGTGGTTTGTGTTCAGTGATTGCAGAACCAAGTAAATACTACATCAATACCGTAGTTGTAGGTTGGGGTGGTTGGGGTGCATTGGTGCGGAGTGCATACTGGGCGTCTACTATTTCCGAACCATCATTTGTTGCAATAGTGATTGCTGCATTTTAGTAGCATGTTGTTGGTCGTGGTAGATGCCTACCAAATTTCCTTTCCTAGGTAATTCGGCAAATTGCTCTCGAACAGTAGTGGGAAGTGTAGCAGCTTATGTCAAAGCAAGTGTCTTGATACTCTCTGTTATGGATTATAACTCAGAGTATAGCGCAGAATACTATAAGGGGAACGTGATTACAGAGCGTCCTATCCAAATGAGACCTAGGGCTTATATAGTGCGAGTTGACCAGGTTGAAGTTGAGGGTTGGACCAGTCAAGGGCTCCTTAGTCCGAGGGTGACGGGGTCAAAATGGGTTCGGAGCGACTCGGGATCAGGCTGGGGCCGAAAAGGTCGTCGGGGGCTGGTTTGGCGCGATAGGCCGGGGCCGAGCCTGCGGACCCGCACTGTTCGCGGTACTCGCTGTGGCAAGCCCCAGTAAGGAATCGTAATTCCTTACACACTCTGTAGCAGCCTGCGTAACAGCGATCAGGCGATGCACGCGACTTTGGCAACATAATTACGATATAAAATATATGCATCAAGCTCTCTCCTGGCATAAAATGCTCAACACTCATGTCGTGCTGGTTCTTCAACGGCAGAACTTTCTGAATCGCTATTTTCCATGGGACCTTGGCATCGCATGCTATGCTACTCAACTCAACCCAGAAGCTTGAAGCTAAGCGTAATGAAGGGACCAAAGCACAAGACGGAGGCCGGGCAGTAGGTAATAGGTATGCTTGAGAAAGAGTAGAAACCGATAGAAGTTGAACGCCTTCTCAAGGAGTGTGTGCATGCACTAATCCTTCACCTTGGCAGGGAGGGCAGTTGACTTAGTAATGGGCACAGCATCGTCATCGCTGCTCGCGGGCTTCTTACCCCCCTTGTACTTCTGCATGTGCAAGTGCGGGAAGGAGGGTGGGCATGGGAGGAGAGGGATGGCAGATGTGTGAGGCTCGGGGAGACAGCACAAGTGGCTTCTTCGCCTTTGGCAGCGAGGGCAGTGGACTTGGCAGAGGCACAGCATTCCCATCTGCACATGTGAGGGCAGGAGGAAGGGTGGGCACAGGTAGAGTTAGGGCAGATATGTGAAGCTGGGGGATACAGCACTGGTGGTTTTCTTAGACTTAGCAGGGAGGGGAGAGGGCTTGAACAGCGGCACAACATCGGCATCACTGCTTGCGGCTGGTTTTCCCCCTTAACACTTCTGAAATCACGAGCCCCTGGCAGATAGAATCCAGAAAGCAAAACGGGAGAGGGTACTACCAGGGGAGGGAGGGAGGGAGGGAGAGGGAGAGAGAGAGAGAGAGAGAGAGAGAGAGAGAGAGAGAGAGAGAGAGAGAGAGAGAGAGAGAGAGAGAGAGAGAGAGAGAGAGAGAGAGAGAGGCTAGAGAGCGCACCTGCTTCCCAAAGGAGAATGGGACGTATTTGTATTTGATCATGTGGCGGATCTGGCGCTTCATGGTGAGCACGAAGAGCGTGAACCAGTACATGAGCAGAATGGGCCAGAAGACCGGCACGTCGAAGATGGGGAAGAAGGTCATCGTGAACGCGATGACGAACGCCTTGGTCATTGCGTACCTGGGGGGGGGGGGAGGGAGGGGAGGGAAGAACAATCAAGGACCAGAACAGGCGTGCGAATGTCACATGCAAGGTACAGAACCTCCCCAGGGAGGAGTGGGAAGAGCTTGGGGGGTGGGGGGAGGAGGGGGGGGGGGGGGTTGAATGCGATGATGAATGCCGTCGTGGTCGTGCGTACCTGAGACGAGGGGAGGGGACCAAGAGAAGGGGAGAACAGTCTATTTTTGAGGCGCCTCAAAAATAGGGGAGGGGACCAAGAGAAGGGGAGAGCAGGGACGGAATTTTCCCGGGGGGGGGGGGAAGAGGGAAGAGAAGGGAGAGGGAGAGGAGGGAAATAGGAAGACTCACGCACTCGGAATGCAAGGCAGAGCGGGCAATGCAATTAGAGTTCAAGCGCAGTGGAATGGGGTAGTAGGGAGTATTCGGTAAGCGGACTGTAGTAGGGTGACAACAAGGGGACCAGGGTAGCAGGCAACCCTAAACTCCAGACTCACCAGAACTTAAACTCTGGTAGCCGTCGGATGAAGGGCTTGAACTCATCGTTGCCCTTGGATGGCAGCACTGGCCCCTCGGCCTCCGGGTCAACTTGAGGGGAGAGGAAGCCGATGAGCAGATTCAGCATGTATATGCCGAGCCCGTAGGTGATGATGTAGTACCCGTGTAGGAAGTACACGCGAATGGTGTAGATGAGGGCGACTACGAGTGTGGCGATCCATCTGTGCCCATAATGTGGGGTCGACTTATCGAGGAAATACTGTAGGGGATGGGGGGAAGAAGGATGGGGGGAAGAAGGATGGGGGGAAGAAGGATGGGGGGAAGAAGGATGGGGGAAAGAAGGATGGGGGAAAGAAGGATGGGGGGAAAAAGGACGGGGGGAAGAAGGATGGGGGGAAGAAGGATGGGGGGAAGAGGAACGGCGGAAAGAGGGAGCGGAGAAGAGGAATGGGGTACCGGGATAGGGACACGGAACGACGAGTGTGGCGATCCATCTGTACACATAGTACGGGGTCAACTTATCGAGGAAATACTGTAGCGGGGTGGAGGAAAGAGGGACGCGAGTGGAGGCATGGAAGAAGAGGAACGGAAGTCAGGAGAATGGGGGATTTTTATTTATTTATTTATTTCTTTATTTATTTCTTTAGGGAGCCGGGGAATGAGGAACGGGAGAAGGGCTCGGCTTATCCAGGAATGAGGGACGGACGACGAGCTCGACTTTTCTGGAGGGGATGGGGGAATGAGGGACGGAAGTAGAGGAATGCGGGATGGGGAGAGGAGCAGCGACAGGGAAGGACGAGTGTGGCGATCCATGGGCACCCAAGTGAGGAGTCGATTCATGGAGGACGCACTGGAAGAGATGGGGTAAGGAGGGTTGAGAGTCGAGGAGTAGAGGAATGGGGAACGGGGAAGGGGGAGTGGGGAACGGGAGCAGGGGGAGTGGGGAACGGGAGCAGGGGGAGTGGGGAACGGGAGCAGGGGGAGTGGGGAACGGGAGCAGGGGGAGTGGGGAACGGGAGCAGGGGTCAAACTGTCCAGGAAGTGCTCAAGAGCGGCTCGGCAGGGGTGTGCGGCAAACGGGGCGGGCGAATGGCGGGAATGGTGCGAAAGGGAGGACCGAGAAAAAGGGAGCGCGTTGGAAAAGGTGCGCGGAGAGGAGGGAGGCTCGGTAAGTAAGGGAAGGGCAACGGACAGGGGGAAAACGCGGGGCAGGGGGAAGTGGGGGAGGAAAATGCGGGACAGGGGGAAGTGGGGGAGGAAAACGCGGGACTCATCGCAAGCGCGACCTTACGGACCGCGCCGAGAACCGTGTCATCTGCACCCGTGTCATGTGGAACCGTGTCATCTGCACCCGTGTCATGTGGAACCGTGTCATCTGCACCCGTGTCATGTGGAACCGTGTCATCTGCACCCCTGTCATGTGGAACCGTGTCATCTGGAACCGTGCCATATGGAACCGTGTCAACTGCACCCGTGCATCACGGGCCGAATTCGCGTTGTTGGCAGAACGACCACCAGAAACAACTCAACCGCAAGACGATGTACGCATCTGCCACCGTGGCAACAACGCGAAAAGTCCACGGTGGCTGTCGTGCTCGAACGTGCGAGACTAGAAAAGCCATCGTCGCATTCGAATGCGCGGGACTAGAAAAGCCATCGTCGCATTACCCCAATCACGACGAACAGTAAAGTCTGTATACTTCCGAGCAAGAGTCATTAGCAACCGCATCTTGAATGGGCGCGATCGTGGACGTAAAATCATTGGGCAAAGGAGCATGCGCCTGAAATGTGCAGCCGCGATTAGCACGCAACCGATACCGTTGAGTTCAGGCCAGCACGCACCCTAAACCGTGAAGTACGCACCTCAAACTGTTAAGTACGCACCTGAAACCGCTGAGCCAAAACGGCTCCGTTTCCCCCTGCCAACATCGAGGACGCTGCTGAATTCGCAAGTTGATTTGATCCAACGGTCAGCAAGGCTCGATCCGCCCGGCGTTTCGGCAGCAAAAGTGTGGTCCCAGCCGACGAAGCTTCAACGGGGAAGATCCTTCGGTTTCTCTCACACTACCTTCGCAAGAGTCTCGCGCGGGATTGGTCAACCGAAGCGCGATGCGGTAGCAGCAGCAGATGCAGCGAAGGCAGCGGCAGCAGCACGAAAAGCAACTGAACAAGCTCTCTACTAGCCAAACGAGCAGCGATTAGGTTAGTAGCGAGATCTGACGGAGCGAGCTGAAGGATAAAACTTAGCAATCGAGGGAGGATCTGCTGCGTCACATAAGGGTACCACAAAATAGGTCCTTACATCTGCTGCTGCTAAAGCTGCGAATCGAGCCTGACGCAAGACTCGAGGAGTTAAGGAGTGTCACACAGACGAACAATGACAGGCCCGATACAGTAAATGGCACGAATGTGTGGCTGGCTGGAGCCTAGAGCCGAACCAGCAGATGAACCCGAGGACTCTGACCTGACAAAGTTTGGCGGGAAATCTTGAGAACCCCGTGGGAGAATCTCGTGAAGCTATTATTACTATATATTAATGTTTTTGTCTTTCCTCAAAACGTGGTTCTGTGGTGCAGTGGTTAGCACTCTGGACTTTGAATCCAGCAACCTGGGTTCGAATCCCGGCAGAACCTTTTATGTTGTGAACAACTGGTTTTGACCTGTTCTTCCATTTCACTCCTTCCAAGACCAATCACAGCTTTCCAAATGCAAGGGGACAGCTTTCCTCTTTGACTACATTTGTCAGTAGAATCTAGGTGACTCCCAAAATCCTACTTTACATCACACAACTTCAGTACCCTGTAATTGCAAACAGCACCCAATGGCACTGTCTGGTTGGCAGGAAAAGTATACCAGTACTTCAATGAATGGCTAATAGGATGGCTATAGTTGGAGGAAAGGCTCGAGGTTGATTTCCACAGCGGAGCACGGGTCAGGGATGTCAAAGCGAGCAAGAACCTGGAAACGGGAAGGCAAGGGGAGGTGGAGGGCAAGAGAGGAGAAGGGAACAGGAAGGGGTGGATAAGGCTTTGAGTTCAGAGGGAGGTGACAAAGACATTATTTGAACTGTTCCAGCTCACTGTGAGAAAAAAATAAATGCATAAAGCAATTTAGCAGCTTATCTGTTACTCAGATAAGGCCACAAACCCACCTCAGGGTGAACGACACCAAAGGTACCAATGGATTTCCCTTTGAAGAGGATGTCTGCTTGACGGCCGCCAAAGAACTGGGGGGACTGGCGGGTGAAAGAAAATAGGGAAAGGGGGTCATATGTGAGCAGAGATGGTAGCGAGAGGCGAGAAATGATCCTATAGAAAAAGAAAGAAAGAAAGAAAGAAAGAAAAAAACCTGGATATTTAAGTGGAGGGAAGAATTGAGGGGGGAAAGAAGGGGGAGCAGAAGCCTAGCATGTATGGGAGAACAAAAACGGGAGCAGAAGACTCACTTGTGAGGGGACAATGAAGTACTTGAGATCAGCAGTCAGCAGGCTTGGCCTCCTTGGCACCAGGATGCTGCAGGCAGCAGGTTTGGCCTCCTTACCAGGAACAGTAAACAAGGCTGGGAATCACTCACTTGGGAGGGAGCAATGAAGTACTTGAGGGCAGCGGGCTTGGTCTCCTTGCCATCAGCATCAGCAACAGGACCATCAGCATGGGCTACTGTGCCGTCAGCCCCAGCCTGGCCGCCAAACGGCACTCCCAGTGCTTCCATGAGGCGATCCACCAGACCGTGAATGACCTGCAGAGAGGAGATGGGGGTCGGGCAGGGGAGAAGGAGGAGGAGGTAAGGGGAATGAAAAAGAAACAGTCGGTGCTGTCAGCATGGGCTATTGTGCTGTCATTCAGCCCCAGCCTGGCCGCCAAACGCCACTCCCAGTGCCTCCATGAGGCGTTTTACCAGACCGTTAATGACCCCAAGGGAGAGTGGAGAAAGGGGAGAGCAAAGGGAGGGTGGGGGGAGGAAGAGCGAGGGTGGAGAGATGGGATCAAACGCCACTCCCAGCGCCTCCATGAGGCGATCCACCAGACCGTGAATGACCCCAAGGGAGAGTGGAGAAATGGGAGAGCAAAGGGAGGGTGGGGGGAGGAAGAGCGAGGGTGGAGAGATGGGATCAAACGCCACTCCCAGTGCCTCCATGAGGCGATCCACCAGACCGTGAATGACCCGAACCGAAGGGCCGGCAAAGGATGGAGAAAAAAGCAGTGGAACAGACTTGTGAGAAGGCGCCCCGATCGTTGCCACCCATCCACATGAACAGTACCAGACATCACCTCGAACCCTGAGTGCAGATTGCAGTAGAGGGCAAACAACCGCCTCTCATTGCAAGCCCCCACGTCCTTGCTCTCATCCATCACACACACGTCCGCCACCTCAAACAGCTTCACTGAAAGGTGGCATGCGCCCACTCACCTCGAACCCCGAGTGCAGGTTGCAGTAGAGGGCAATCAACCGCCTCTCGTTCCTCGCCCCAACGTCCTTGCTCTCATCCATCACACACACGTCCGACACCTCAAACAGCTTCACGGGGCGAGGCGAGTCCTTGTTGCTGGCCAGGGTCTTGAGCATTCCGGGGAGAAGCGACGAGCGAACCACCTGGAATCAAGAGAGGGCAAGTTGAGGATGGATTGGAGAGGGTGCAAGCGGACCATGGAACACCTGAGACAGCTTCACAGCGAATTAAGCTTTTGACGTTCAAAAGGACGAGACAGCACCCTCCAGTCTAGTCTCCGCGTGATAGGAGTCTCGTTTTGAGGCGCCTCAAAACTAGACAGCACCGCCCAGTCTAGTCTCCCCCCACCCATACAGGCACGCGCACGCACCTCAAAGTCAGCAGACCGCGGGTTGCCAATGACCACGGCCGTCTTCCCATCGTCCCTCAGGTTCACCATCTCAAAGTTCTCCGCCCGCGCGATGAGCGCCCATGTGAGCACCTCGGTGAAGCCCGCCTGGGCCACCTCCCCCCGCAGCAGGTCGCTCAGCTGGTTCAACGGCTGCTGCTTGCCCTCACACACGGTCTTGGGTTCGGTTCGAACGATGTTGTTGTACCCATGGGCAATAGCCACGTCCTATGGGGAATGAGGGAAGGAGGGGATGGGGGAAGGGGAAAGGCGGGGAGGAAGTAGGGCGAAAAGCAGACATCAGCGCCCATGTGAGCACCTCAGTGAAGGCCGCCTGGGCCATTTCCCCCCACAGCAGGTCGCTCAGCTGGTTCAGCGGCTGCTGCTTGCCCTCACACACGGTCTTTTGAGTCGACTCAAAAGTCACCTCAGCTGGCTCAGCGGCTGCTGCTTGCCCTCACACACGGTCTTGGGTTCGGTTTGAACGATGTTGTTGTACCCATCATGGGCTATCGCCACGTCCTATGGGGAATGAGGGAAAGAGGGCGAGGGGGAAGCAGGGAGCAGCATGAAACCATGTCCTCGATAACATCACATGTCAACATAGTCCCATATACTTACCTCCATAATGTCACACGGGTGCAGCACGTCGGAGCGTGTGGGCGGCACTCGCACGCTCACCACCTCGGCCCCGTCCTCCCCTCTCCGCCCCTCCACCACCTTGGATGGCAGCTGCATGCGTGTCAAGAGACGGGCGATCTACAAGGGGGAAGAGGGAGGGCGAGAGAGAAAGAGAAAACTGATGAACGGATGCGTGTCCCCCTTCCCATCCTCCCGCTCCGCCCCTCCACCAACTTCAACTGCAGCTGCATGCGCATCAAGAGGCAGACGATGTACAGGGGAGGAGGAAAGAGAGCAGTGATGAAAGTGGCAAGGAGGGAGATTGAGTGCGGATGCGTCTCTTCCGTCTTCCCTTTCGGGCCAACCACCACCTTAAATGGCAGCTGCAGGCGCGTAAAGAGGCAGGCGACCTGGTAGGGGGGGGGAAGGAGGGAGTGATGAAAGAAGCGAGTAGCACAGTAACAGATACCTGAACACCCAACATACGAACACCCAACATACGAACGCCCAAACATACGAACGCCCAAACATACGAACGCCCAAACATACGAACGCCCAAACATTCGAACGCCCAAACATTCGAACGCCCAAACATTCGAACGCCCAAACATTCGAACGCCCAAACATACGAGCACCCAAACATACGAACCCCCAAACACACATGCCTATCCATACCTCCTCAGCCTTGAGGTCAACGCCGATGGCCTTATTGATGTACCCCACTGACGTGTCGACACTCCTCTCGTCCATCTGAGGGTAGACTGCCACCTGCCCCTCCGCAGATACCACCTCCACCGGCTCCACCTCGAACCTGCCACAATGGGGGGATGGCACAGGCACACAAAGTGATGAGAGGTGAGGACTCTGAGAATTCTGAGAAGAAACTAGGTAGGTAACAACAGTGAACAGTGTTGGGCACAACTGTCTCGTCGGTGGAGGAAGGTCGGTCGGTCGCCCGTGTTCAACACTCACTTTTGAGAACAATCTTCGCCTTGTGAGATGAGGTGAGGTAAGGTACATTGCCCCAGTTTCACATCTACAGTATTTATGGCAAAAAGGGTTTGTATGTGCTCACTTGTTGTCGCAGAACTCTGAGAACATAGTGACGACGGTGTTGAGAACAATCTTCGCCTTGGTAAGATCTGTAGCCGTGCATTCGACGAACACGTTGCGGGTGGTGAGCTTGATGGCTGAATGCGCCCCGTTGATCACCGGAGGGAGAGACAGGACGGTTCTGAAGGAGAGCCGGGGGGGGGAGTGGGATGGGAGTGAGATTTAGTCAGTCTGTGGCCGTGCATTCGACGAACACGTTGCACGTGGTCAGCTTGATGGCTGAATGCGCGCCGTTGATCACAAGAGGGAGGGAGAGAACGGTTCTGAGAGGAAGGGGGAGAAAGACAGGGATGGGGGAAGGAGGGCGGGAGGGGAAGGAGTGGGAGCAGCCGTGCATTCGATAGACACGTGGCGCGTGGTGAGCTTGATGGCGGAATGGGCGCTGTTGATCACTGGAGGGAGAGACGGCACGGTGCTGGAGGGAATGGGACGAAAGGGCAGGAGAAGGGGAAAGAGGGATTTTGCACTGCTTTTTCTTCTGTTTTATCGATGGAGACAGTTAAACGGGTTTACAAGAGCAGATCAGGCTCACCTGTTGGCGTCATAAACGACTGGGAAGACAGGCAAATAGCGTTTTGAGTCGACTAAAAAAATACCTGGAGACCGAAAAACGGGGTTAGTAGAGGCTCACCTGTTGGTGTCATAAATGACTGGGAAGACAGGCGAGTCGCTGATGATGTGGAGAAACTTCTTGAGCTTGTTGTCCGCCTGAGGTGACGGCATCAGTGAGTGGGAAGAGGAGGGAATTATAATTATGCAGTGAGGGTGGAGAAAGTGGAAAGACAGGTGAGTCGCTGATGATTTGGAGAAACTTTTTTAAATTGTTGTTGTTGGCCTGGCCTGGGTTGGGTTGGGTTCGGTTGGGTTGGGTTGTGGTTGGGTTGTGGTTGGGTTGGGTTGTGGTTGGGTTGGGTTGTGGTTGGGTTGGGTTGTGGTTGGGTTGGGTTGTGGTTGGGTTGGGTTGGGTTGGGTTGGGTTGGAGTAAGGAGAAGTGGGTTGATAAGGGAACGAATTTGGAGGGTTGAACGGCAATCAGAGTGAGTGGGATAGGCACCACACCTGAGTTGAGCCAGTGTCAGAAACGTTCTGCAATACGAAACCATGCGTACGTACACGGAGTCCTTACACGGAATCCTTACCTTGTAAAACTCCATCAGCTCTGCCGCATTGAACTCCTTGGTCTGATGAGAGAGAGTGCCAAGGAAAGAGGAGGGGGGGAGGAGGAGACAGAACGATACGGGAAGGCAACCGGAAAGAGAATCAACATTTGAAATGAAATGAAATAAAATATATAGACACACAGTCAAGAGAAACAGAAAAAACACTGGAGTTGACTCAAAACGATGGTAGCTGGATTCCAGAGACAACCAGTCAAGAGAAGAGGGCCTGGAACCTTGAGGTGCCTCTCAACCCTTGCCCACCGCTCAAGTTTAAGACGTCTCAAATCTAGATGTATCTCAACACTTGTCTTGTCCACTCATGGCCCATCCCTCCCTCCCTCCCTCCCTACCTGCTTGAGTGGCACAAACTCGATCATCGTGGAAGGCAACGGGTATTTTGAAGAAAATGCACCTTTCAACTCTTGCTAACGGCCGACCCCCGCCATCCATACCTGCTTGAGCGGCATGAACTTGATCTCAGTGGGGGGCAACGCCTGTAGCAGAAGGCACAACCAGGGACATGAAATGAGAGTTGAAACGAGAGTTGAAATGAGAGTTGAAACCGTGCAGTGCACGCAGAATGTAGATAAGAATGATGTTCAATGCATGCGGAAAGGACGGTTTGAAGAGAATAACGGAAGAGAAAAAGGGGAGGGAGGGATGGAACAGTAACCTTCCTACATAAGTGCTGTTCTTTCTCTCTCTCCTCCGCCTCACACTGCCCCACCTCACATTGCCGTACCTCATAAGTGAATGGCGGTGTGAGTGTATCAAGGTCGTGTGTGCCAATGGCAACCAGAGTGCGACGCCTGGGCGGGAGGGGAGAAAAAGGGGTTGGGGGGGGGAGAGGGGAGGGGGGGAAGGGGAGGAGGGGAGGAGGGGAGGAGGGGAGGAGCGGAGTAGAGTAGGGCGGGTGGAGGGGTGAGAAGGTGGAAGGGGAATGAACGTTTGAATGAAGATGCTTCAAACGGGGTGACGGCATTGCAACAAGAGTGCAATGGCACACCAGGCAGGAGTCGATCACCGGCAGGAGAATATCACCAGCACAGGATTGTTACCAGCACAGAATTGTTACAAGCACAGAATTGTTACCAACACAGAATTGTTACCAGCAGAGGTTCTGGTGCAGCCTGTCCTGCAAGTCGATGAAGCTGTTGTACTATTACTTGTTATAGGAACACTACCAGCACATGTCTTACTGGCACTGCTCATGTCTTACTGGCACTGCACATGTGCTACTGGCACCGGCACATGTGTTACTGGCACTGCACATGTCTTACTGGCACTGGCACATGTGCTACTGGCACTGCACATGTGTTACTGCCACTGCACATGTGTTACTGGCACTGCACATGTGTTACTGGCACTGCACTGCACATGTGCTACTGGTACTGCACATGTGTTACTGGCACTGCACATGTGTTACTGGCACCGCCACATGTCATCAGTTACCGGCAGAGGTTCTGGTGCAGCCTGTCCTGCAGGTCGATGAAGCTGTTGTAGCGGTGCTGGTCGAAGGTCACGTTCCGCAGGACTGCGCCCACCACGAAGGGGCGGATGAGCGCCGTCTGCACAGGATAAAGGCGGGAAAAGAGGGCAAGGGGTGAGAGAGAGAGGGAGGAGCAAGAAATGGATAGGGGGAGAAAGCTTGAGGTGGTGACTTTTGAGTCGACTCAAAAGTCACCTCAAAAGAGGGCAAGGGGTGAGAGAGGGAGAGAGGGAGGGAGGGAGGGAGGGAGGAGTACGAAATGGATAGGGGGAGATTTTTTAGTCGACTCAAAAATCGACTCATTACACAAAGAGGGCAAGGGGTGAGAGAGGGAGAGGGAGGGAGAGAGAGGGAGGAGTAAGAAATGGATAGGGGGAGAAAGCTTGAGGTGTGGCACGGCCGCACGGGGTCGAGTCCAAGGAAGATGCGCAGGGAGCAGGCGTTGGCGAGGCCCTCCAGGCACAGCTATCCCCCCCTCGCCAACAACGTTGGGAGTTGTTGTTGGCTGTGAACAGCCAACAATGACTCCCCCTACCTTGGGCTCTTGAGTCGACTCAAAAGTCACGGCGTTGGCGAGGCCCCCCTCCAGGCACAGCTATCCCCCTTTAACAGCCAACAACGACTCCCCCTCCCTACCTTGGGCTCGACTCGACTCAATGGCATTGGCGAGGCCCTCCAGGCCCAGGCACAGCTATCCCCCTTTAACAGCCAACAACGACTCCCCCTCCCTACCTTGGGCTCGACTCGACTCAATGGCATTGGCGAGGCCCTCCAGGCCCAGGCACAGCTATCCCCCTTTAACAGCCAACAACGACTCCCCCTCCCTACCTTGGGCTCGACTCGACTCAATGGCATTGGCGAGGCCCTCCAGGCCCAGGCACAGCTATCCCCCTTTAACAGCCAACAACGACTCCCCCTCCCTACCTTGGGCTCGACGGTCATGCGGATGGGGCTGGAAGCGCTCATGAGCGTGAACTGCGGCACGGGATCGAGCCCCAGGAAGATGCGCAGGGAGCGAGCCAGCCTGTCCAGTCCAGTCCGGGTACATTTCGTTCGAATCCCGCTCACCAGCCAACAGCAAGCTGCCTCACCTCGGGCTTGACAGTCATGAGGATAGGTTTCGCATTCGGAGCGAGCGTGAACTGCGGCCCCGGGGCGAGCCCCAGGAAGATGCGCAGGGAGAGGGCGAGGTGGGCCCCTCCAGGCACAGCAGGTCGTAGTGGTCGGGTACTGAGAGAGGCGGCTCAAGAATCCGATCGAGTGTGTGCACACGAACTCACCTCGGGCTTGACGGTCATGCGGATGGGGCTGGCAGCAGCAGCGAGCTTGAACTGCGGCACGGGGTCCATCCCGAGGAAGATGCGCAGGGAGCGGGCGAGGCCCTCGAGGCACAGCAGGTCGTAGCGGTTGGCGGGCACCTCGATCTTGTAGATCACCTCCTCGTCCTCCGAGGGACCCTCGTCCTCCAAGTGCTTCTCCTTGCGAATGATCGCCTTTTCCGTGGTCTGAAAGGGGGGGAGGGGGGTGGTTGGCGGTTGAAACGGAACAAGGGGGGAGGTTGGCGGGCACCTCAATCTTGTAGATCACCTCCTCGTCCTCTGAAGGTGATTCGTCCTCCAGGTGCTTCTCCTTGCGGATTATCGCCTTCTCAGTTGTCTGAAAGACGGGAGGGGGGGGGAGGAGGGGAGGATACTTGATATACAGTCAACTTTACACTGATTTGCAAAGCTCGTTTTTTGTCACAATGCGACACCATGGAGGTCTCGTTGTAGTCACACTTACCACGTCATCGAGCTCAATGCCGAACTCGAAGCAGAGCTCGTCGAATTCCTCCTCCGCTGGAAGACACCACAGCACGGACAAGGCAATGCCAGAGAGAATCAAAGAGACAAGGCGAGGTAAGAACCCAGATAAGGTACTGCCTGCCAGAGAACAATTTAAGGCAATGTCAAACACGCTGGCATAATGACAGGGCACCACCACCTGATCAGTCACAAGCAGACAAGATTAGTCACCTCCTAACCGAGTCAGTAACCTCCTGACCGCGTCAGTAACCACCTGACCGAGTCAGTAACCTCCTGACCGAATCAGTAACGACCTGACAGGATCAGAACCCACCTAAAAGACATGATAGGTAACACCTGACATGACCTGAGACGGGATTAACGACATGGCAGACAGCCTTAGCAGCGAAAATCCTCGTCTGTAACAGTGAAGGCGGGCAAATCACCGATGGCGGCCGTTTCTTGAGGTGCCGCATATATCAGCCCTAGCATCGGGAACCCTCGTAGAGTGAAGGCGAGCAAATCACCAATAGCGGCCGTTCACATAGCTACGACGAGGACACCACGCCTTGATGGCACACCACGGCAGACAGCCTTAGCATCGGAAATCCTCGTCTGTACGGTGAAGGCGAGCAAATCACCGATGGCGGCCGTTCGGATAGCTATATTTACGACAAGGACACCGTGTCTTGATAGCACGACTGCTCTTCTCAGAGTCGAGTCGACTCAAAAGTCGCACACCTACGACAAGGACACCATGCCTTGATAGCACGACTGCTCTTCTCGGGTGCACAGTAAAGGAGCGTCACTGACGTGTAGTGTCTCCGATATAGGGTTCTTCGCTAGTGTCAGGCGATTCCGATCCCACGAAAGACGGAGGGGACGTATGACAGCTTTCTTCCCTACTATACACTTCGCCAAATACTACATCCCAAGAAAGTTTCAGGAGACGACCACTGTGGAAAGACACTCACTAGCTACCGAACACACACTGGTTACCCGGTTACATTATTCGCGTTAGTAACTTGTCGACTCGCTGTTGGTTACTGAACGACTAATGTAGGTCGTTCCGGGCTACCTGATCACTCACTGTAGGTTTTGCCGAGCGCGGCGAAGAGGCGATCGCGACCCACGCTAACGGTCGGCATTTTCTAGGCGCGATTTGACGGATAAGGCCGGCGACCCGAGGCTCTTCGTCCCAAGGCAAGCGACGGCGTAACGTCAGAATAGAACGTTGAATTTGCGCTTCGAAGAAACCACTGCGACCTTAGAAGGTCGTGAGGTGGGGAATAGAGGCCTCGCTTAGGAGGTGGAAGAAAGACCTGATCAGAAGGGCTATGGAGAATATCGGGGCGCGTGACAATAACGAAGTCGAGCAGGATCAGATGAGACGAGATTCCAGGCACAGGAAGACTACAAATAATTTATTGCCGTAATGATAGTTGAAACCTGTTACTTCCTCAACCTTCCAACAAACTCGGCATTAAATACCAACAGTAGCATACATAGCCCATAATTAGCACCACCACAAATGCAACAATGCAGTTTACGGGGTTAAAAAGGGGGCCACCTACTAACTTGAATGCGCAGCCCGGCCCAAAGAGACGGCAGCAATCCACCTACTAACTACACTCAGTAAGCTAAAAAAATCACCTGGATCATGCTACAATTTGCCCGTGCCGATGGCTCGGACAGCGCGCGAGCGCACAACAGTATTTCCCTCCACATGCACCTTCTTACACATAATCCTCCTTCCAATGTCACACCCTATTATCCATGCAATACGGCACCCTATTTCTCTCCATGCCACGCCACACCCTGTTCCTCCTATTGCTCCATCAATCTGTGCATTGGTCCCACAAGCACATCCGTCCCCTCCCCCACTGCTTGCACCTGGTCGTCAGCCTCCCCACCACCACGTTCCCCATAACCCTGCTCTCCTCCCCCTTCACCACCACCAGCACCACCAGCACCACCAGCAACAAGCGTTGTACCCTCTCGCTCCCCTTCCCCCAGTTGACCTTCTTGGACCCTTCCTCGGCTTCCCTGCTGTATCCCACCAACCTGAAACCCCACTCCCTGCCCACCTACTCCTCCTGACCCTGATGGCCCCCCACCTGCCTCTATCTCTCTCAACCCCTCCGAAGCCCCCCCACCCTCCACGTTTCTCTCACCTCCCGTTTCCTGCTCCCACCCAGTCCCTCTGCTTCCTTCAGCTGCAAAGCCCAAGCCTGCTGCCGAACCTACTGCCGAACCTGCTCCCAGACGTGCTGATCCACTGCCTCCTCCTGTTGCTCCTGCCCTTCCCACTTCCCCCTCCCCTTCCCCTCCACCAACCCCCCCTCTGCTGCTCCCATCCCTACCACTACCACCACCACCACCACCACCACCCCTGCTGCTACTGTGGCTTCCAGTGAGTCGGGAAGGCGCTTCAGCAGCACGTGCAGGCATGGGGGAGAGAGAGCGTAGGGGGAGGTGCAGAGGGGGGGTGAGAGGGCGAGCAGCAGAAGCAGCCCTTGCCCCCCCTGGCCCTGCTGCTGCCATCGCACCCCGCCCCAACTGCCCTACAGTTGCTGCCGTGCCTCTCAGAGGTGATCTGCTGTAGCTGCTGCTGCCGCCAGAGCCCCCCCTTGCAGGACTAGCAGTAGCACTACCGCCACCAGCAGCAGCAGCACCCGAAGGAGCAGTGCTGCTTGAAGGAATGACGTATGTCCAACCACTACCCCTGCTGGAGCCCGCGTTGCCAGCAACCCCACCACCACCCACACCACCACCAATGCCACCACCACCCCTAGCAGAACCACCAGCACCAGCAGTACGAACATTGGCATTATAGGGGTTATTATAATTGTTACCCACGACACCTGGACTTCCCGGACGTGCCAGCTCAGCCACTTCCAATCGTGATCCCTGTGCAACCGAAGCAGCTGTGTTCTCCATACCCGGACCTGCGCCCATTCCCAGACCTGCAGCTCCCGAGCCTGTAACTCCTCCACCTGGGGGTCCCGTTCCTGCCATTCCCGTACCTGGGCTTCCCGGGCCTCCGGCAGGTGCAGAAGAGGAGGGTTGCCCCATGAGCCTCCTAAACGTGCCTGTGACGAATGACGCAAATCGCTGCGCCCCTCTCGGCGACGCTGCTGCCCTCGCCCCAGATGCTGCTGCTGCTGCACTCCCGTCAGCACCACCAGCAGCAGCACCAGCAGCACCAGCAGAACCAGCAGCACCAGCGGCACCAACAGCAACAACACCATGTCTACCATCCCCGCCTGTCAATCCAAGCAGGCCAAAGCGCAAGGGAGACCCATCCCTACCACCACGACCGCCATTGCCCTCCCCATTCCCAAGGGCACCAGGGGCACCAGCGGCCACAGCATCTGCTCCTCCTACTGCCCCTCTTCCTTGCACACGGTTGTGAGTCTGATGCTGGTGGTTGTGGTGCTGGTGCTGGTGCTGGTGATGGTTGTGGTGGTGGTTCTCCTGGTGATCTACACCCCCTCCTTCTCCTCCCACCCCTCCTGCTCCCCCTCCTCCTGCTCCTCCTGCTGCTGCTCCTTCCCCCCATCCTGCCCCACCCATCCCCAACAACCCAATTCTCTCTCCAAAGTTCCTAAGCCGAAACCCCTCACCCAGCAAACCACCCAAACCCCCACCACCATCACCACCACCATCACCACCACCATCAGCACCACCGCCCGCAGCCCCTCCCTCTCCCCTTCCCCCACCCCCTCTCCCCCCTCCACCACCCTCCCTCCCTTCGCCACCACCCCTCTCCCCTCCTCCCCTTGCCGACCCACTCCTACTCCTTTCCTGCGTGATAACCAGCGCCGGCCGCTGCTCCTGGAGCACACCCAGAGAATGAGCCGAAACCCCAGGGCACCGCCGGACCTTCAGCCGCTGCAGGCTCGGGCACCCGTTGGCGAGCGCGTAGATCCCAAGGTCGGTAACTTTGTTACAAGCTTTCACGCAGAGGCGGCGGAGGTTGGTGCAGGAGTAGGCTAGGGTGGCGAGTTCGGGGTCCCCCATGTTGTGCCCCGAGCAGAGGGTGAGGCGCTCTAGAGAGGGGCAGTTGGAGGCGAGGAGTTGGAGAGAGGAGACGGTGCAGGCATGGGACACGAGCACTAACTCCTGTCGGGTGGGGGTAAAGGGATAAGCGGGGAATACAGGAGCAGAGGGTGAGGCGTTCCAGAGAGGGCCAGTGGGAGGGGAGGCGCTGGAGAGAGGAGACGGTGCAGGCATGGGATACCAGCACCAGCTCCTGATAGGGGAGGGGTGGGATTATACAGAAGGGGGAAGTGGCGAGGGTTTAGGGTGGCGAGTTCAAGGTGCCCCGAGCAGAGGGTGAGGGCTTCCCTCCCGCTGCTAGACCTGCCGGCAGAGCCTGGCTCTCAACAGTATTGCTAGACCCTATATGGATGAGAGCCCAGGGTGCCTGGCCCCATATTGCCGGCAGTGCCTGGAAATGGATGAGAGCCCAGGGTTGCCTAAGTGCCTAAGTGCACCAGTGCCCACCCCTCCACATGCAGCCGCCTCAGCCCGCTACAACCCCCTGCTACAGCCCCCATGTCTGCTACAGCCCCCATGTCTACTACAGCCCCCATGTCTGCTACAGCCTGCATGCACCACCAGGAGCACAAGACCCACCTGTAGCTGCCGACAGTGCCTGGCAATGGATGAGAGCCCAGGGTCGCCTAAGTGCCCCGGCGCCCACCCCTCCACATGCAGCCGCCTCAGCCCACTACAACCCGACGCTACAGCTGCCATTCCTGCGTCTGTGCACTCGTTTGTGCGCACCACCACGAGAGCTTCAAGCTTGGGGCACTTGCCGATCGCCTGTAGGCCTTTGTCTGTTATCTGCACTCTCTCCACGTATATCTGGAAGGAAGGAGAAGGAAGAGGGGAAGAGGGTTGCGGGGGGGGGAGAAGAGCGAGAGGGTCGCTACAACCCGCTACAGCTGCCATGCCTGCATCTGTGCACTCTGCTGTGCGTACCACCACCAGCACCTCTAGCTTCAGGCACATGCCACTCGCTTGAAGGTCTTAGTCTGCTATTTGCACCCTCTCCACGTAATAGGAGTCTAGTTTTGAGGCGCCTCAAAACTAGTCTCCACGTATATCTGGAAGATGGGGAAAGGGGGATGGGGAAAGGGGGATGGGGAAAGGGGGATGGGGAAAGGGGGATGGGAGAAAGGGAGAGTTGCACCAGCCGCCATCCCCGCGTCTCTGCACTCCGGGGTGTGCACCACCACAAGAACTTCAAGCTTGGGGCACTTGCCGATTGCCTGTAGGCATTTGTCTGGTATCTGCACTCTCTCCACGTACATCCGGTAGGGGAGGCGGTGGGGAGACGAGGGGACAAGGGGAGGGTTGCACCGAAGTTGCTGATAAGCACTGCAGCCCCAGCTGCGGATTATATATGATATTTGAGTCGATTCAGAAAGCAGCACCAGCTGCGGAAAGTGAGGGGAACGGGAGGAGGGGAGTCGGAGGGGAATGGGAGGGGAATGGGAGGGGAATGGGAGGGTTGCGACAGCTGCCAAGCCTGCATCTGCCCACTCGGATCAGCACAACACAACCAGCTGGAAAGTCTGTTTATGAGGCGCCTCAAAAAATAAATTCTTTCCATGCCTGCATCTGTGCACCTGATACCACCTGAAACCACCAGAAACCACCTGGTACCTAGCTACTCACCTGAGAGAGCTCTGGAGTGAGCTTCTCCCCCAGCGACCCTCCCACCACCTGGTCCTCCTAGGGCCCCTGGTACCAATGGCACCTGGGAGAAAGAAGATAAGATCCACCTGAGAGAGCTCTGGAGTGAGCTTCTTCCCCTACGAGCCACCCAGCACCTGGTCCCAGTGCCCCTTAAACGCCTGATACCACCTGATACCACCTGATACCACCAGATACCTAGTTACTCACCTGAGAGAGCTCCGGGGTGAGCTTCTCCCCCAGCGACCCTCCCAGCACCTGGTCCCAGTGCCCTGCATTGCGCGCCAGGATTAGGGTTTCCAGCCTCGATGCCGCCTGCAGCAGCAGCAGCAGCAGCAGCAGCAGCAGCAGCAGCATAAGGGAGTAGGAGGGGGGAGGGAGCACGAGACGGGGTGGGTGATTATGGATGAAAAGGCTTGAATCCTTGACGGCAGCAACACCACTCGTACTAGGGCAAGGGAGGGGGGAGTCTCACCTGCAGCAGCGGCACCCAGATGTGGGACTGGCTCTGGTCTTTGAGGCAAAGGCGCTTGAGAGAGAGGTGCGCGGGAGGAGAGAGCGAGTCAGAGACAGGCGGAATGGGGGTGATGCGGTCCTTGGGGAGGAAGGGGCGGAGGCTGGGGGGGAGGGGTGGGGGGGGGGGGGGGGGAATGCAAAGCAAGGGGAACAGGAGCGGGAATGGAAAGAAGGGCGGGGTTGAGGGGATCGGGTCAGAAGGGAGAAGTTTTGAGGCGCCTCAAAACTAGGGAAAAGGGAGTTGGACATACTGGGGGAAACAAGTTTAGTTTTGAGGCGCCTCAAAACGAAACGGAGGAAACATGGGAGCGAGCAAGTATGGATGAGAAGGCCCGGAACAAAAGCGGCGAGGCATGAGAAGGGTGGTAGGCAGTTGATGGATGGGGCAGATCGGATTTAATCCAAGGCAATCCAATCCACCCCCATCAAGATCGGGAGCTGTGTACCTTCTTTTCACGGTTAAGTCCTCCAGGTGGCAGCAGCCGTTGAGCAGGGCACTGAGCCCCCTCAACCCGAATCCACAGCTGCCGCACGAGAACTTGCGAAGCTCAGGGCAGGCCCGGGCGAACCTCTCCATGCCATCGTCCGTGATCTGAAGGGGGGGGGAGGGGTGGAAGAAGGAGTTGAGAGGGGTGGAGGGGAGTTGAGGGGGGGGGAAGGGGAGGCGGGGATTCACTTCCAAGGAGCCTTGTAGCTCCGGACAGGCCCGGGCGAACCTCTCCATGCCATCGTCCGTGATCCGGGGGGGGAGGGGGGGGGGGGGGGGGGAAAGGAGTATATATGAACGGAAGGGCAGGAGATAAGGCCGACAGGGGGAGGGCAGCAGATAAGATATTAGGCAGCTTAAGGCCCCTAAGCAGACCCGGGCGAACCTCTCCATGGCATCGTCCGTGATCTGAAAGGGGATGGGAAGGGGGGAGGGAGGGGAAGGGGGGAGGAGGGGTATGTATGAACTGGAGGGCAGGAGATCAGCGGTGGAAAGAATTAACGCGCGCAGCAGGCCTGGGCGAACCTCCCATGCCATCTTCCGTGATCTGGGGGCGAGGAGGGGAGGAAGGAAGGAGTTGAGAGGGATGGGGGGGAGTTGAGGGCAGCGAACGCACCGCCTCGCGATGGTGTCCATCAATACTCTGCACGTTGCACCATCAATACTCTGCACGTTGCACCATCAATACTCGCACTTGAGCGCCAGCTTCTGCCCCCTCCCTCGCCGCTCATGGCCCGCCCGCCCTCCCTCCGAGTCCCTTTTTTGAGGCGCCTCAAAAATATACCCCCCTCCCTCCGAGTCCCAACCCTCACCTGCCGGCAGTTCTTGAGCACCAGCTTCTGCCCGCCCTCCCTCTCCGCACTCTCTCCCCCCTTTTCCCACGTTCTTTTCCCACGTTCTCTCCACCACGCTCCTCGCCCTCACCTGCCGGCAGTTCTTGAGCTTGAGCTTCCTTAAGTATACGCACTGCTGGGCAATCGTGTCCAGGGACGCATCATCTATGCTCTGCACGTTGCGCTCGCACTTGAGCACGAGCTTCTGCACGCCTGTGAACCGCTTGAATATGGCTGCTAGGTCCGGCGCTGCTTCTAGCGTCGCCCGCAGGGACATGCTGGGCCGTGTTTCGGCGTCTAGCCTGTGAAGGGCGAAACGGGGGGGGGAGGAGGGAGGGGAAGGGGTAAGGGGGGAGTAGGGACGCAAGGCAGAGAGCCTAAGAGCAAGTGAATCGCTGGGAAGGCGGAGAAGGAACAGAGCAGCGCCTGTTAAACAACATTTGATCAGTGTTAGGTTTCGCCGCTACGAGTCGACTTTCTGAATCGCATGCTGGGCCGTGTTTCGGCGTCTAGCCTGTGAAGGGCGAAACGGGGGGGGGGGGGGGAGGGAGGGGAAGGGGTAAGGGGGGAGTAGGGACGCAAGGCGGAGAGCCTAAGAGCAAGAGAATCGCTGGGAAGGCGGGGAAGGAACAGAGCAGCGCCTGTTAAACAACATTCGGTCAATATTAGGGTTCGCCGCTACGAGTCGACTTTTTGAATCGCCAAACTAAGACGCGCATAGTTAAACTATAATTAATATCTATTTAGGTACGCCGTTGCGAGCCCCTGAAGCGGCGTACCGGGACATTGACAAGTGAAGGAGCTGTCTATCAGTGAGCCGTAACAAGCCTAACGAGGTTAACACTCTCCTGTGATAGTAATTTCGTTTGGAGTCGACTTAAAACGAAGTTACTATCTTACGAGCCCCTGAAACGGCATACTTAAATGGTCAAGCAGCTGTCTGTGAATGCACCGTAACAAGCCTGACACGGTTGACACGGTTGACACGGTTGACACGGTTGACAAGCCTGACACGGTTGACACGGTTGATACGGTTGACACTCGCCTGGGCCATCAGCGAACAAGCACGCGCCAGCAGAACACATGCTGCTGATAAACGTGAAAACCGAAAGGCGCGCGTGAACGTCGAAAGACGCGCAGTCTCTTGTGCTGCTGATTAACACTCTCGTGACACTCTCGTGACATTATCTTGACACTATCATGACACTCTCATAGCACAGAGGGCCCGGTTCAATCACGCGAACCGCCGTCAGTACACTCGCGAGCATCGAGCGAGGTTTGAGACGACTTCAAACGTTTACTCACATAAACCATCGGTTGCACACTAATGAGCATCGGATGAGGCTCCAAATACTCAAATACGGCACAACAAATGCCTTCAAATACTCACATGAGCCATCATCGGCACGCTAAGGAGCATCGTACGAGAATCTTAACATAACTACTCACATGAACCACCGGTTGCACACTAGCGAGCATCTAGCGAGATCCGACGTTCCGAGCTTCCGAAACACGTGGACGAGGCAGTCGTCGGGAAGACTCGCGGTAAGATCCTCCGCCGTCGTCGCGAGCTGCGGGCGACTGTGCAGACGACGCTGCGTGACCTCGTCGTCGCTCGGCGATTCATCCATTTCGCCGGACGAATTCGACCGCGCGTCGTCGTCGTCCGCCGAGAACACCCGCGACGCGGATGACGTCGACATGACGGAAACCGTCAGAAACTAACAACGACAGAACTGAGACGGAAGCTGCCGACAAAACTGGAACGAGGGAGGCTAAAATGACGTCGTACTCAAGAATAAAACCCAAACAAGCGCGTGGTCGGGAAAGCTAGGTCTGCTCCAGTCAGACTAGGCCGCGAATCCGAGCAAAATCAGCCAAAAGCAACTAAAATCAACTGAGATCAGACAGACATGCTAAAGCATTGCTAAAGCGGGTTCGGACGCCACCAGTCGTTGAAGCCATTTGACAGTGACTCCTACAGTAATCCCGCACTCAGGTGGAGACGTGCCCTGACAGGCAAGACCCCGAGTTGCATTGCAGAGCAGAGCAGTGAGCGAGCTGCACTGCACCTGGAAGGCCTTGCTGAGCTGTGCTCTTGGGCAGGGAGCACCTGGGCATGGTACCGCGCCCTCGGTGAACAGCCATGGCGGAAAGATTAGATAGAAGGCGGGAAAATCGATGGTGGCAAGGTTTGAGGTTGGGGCGGAGGGAGAGGGGGGAGGGAGGGTGGAGGAAGGGAGCGTGGGGGGAGGAAACCTTGCATGAGGGGAAAGCAGCGGGAAGAAGCGGCATGCAAGTTGGGGGAATGCGCTGAGCGCAGGGGAGGGCGGGATAAGGATACTGGGCGCGCCGTATTGCGTGCGTGGCAGTGACACTGACAGCCCCGCGCGAGGAGAACTCGAATCTGCGGGTGACAGGCGGAGCGGAGCGGAGGTAGTGTACTGTAGGTTTGGCGGTGGTGGTTTGGCTGGTGGGGGCGCACGGCGCAGTTGGTTCGGGCGGGTCTGCTGAACACGGCTAGCGAATGCTGGAATTCGTCTTTCTGGTAATTTAATTCGTTGACGTCGCATGCATCACTGACGACAGCACTAAGGAAGAACGGCGTCCTTTCACTGAAGCGGTACAGTAACTGAGGTTCTTGGTTCCATCAATTATGAAAACCGTGTCGCTGGAAATCGCAGGCAGCGCTGCAGCACACGTCAGTTTGGCCGTTAGACACGTTGGTTGTAGCCTTCAACCTCGGCTTTGTGCAATGTCCCCGCAGCTTGTAAACTCGTTTTCCAATAACTGTACTTGCACTGGATGAGATCAGCCCCGAAGCAATAAATCCGATTTCTACCCCGATGGGGTCACGCCTACCTATTTGTGGAAGAGACAATCGCGGGCCTGCATGATCACTTCGAACGCTTCAAAAACTCGAGTTCCTTGGCCATGCGCCCAAACCACCCACCGGAGTCACTCCCTTGACTGCTGCCTTTTTGCATCGCTTCAATTTCACGATAACTTGGTCGTTTCTCCGATGTCCCAATCATCTCGTATGAAGGGGAAGAGCTATCGGTTCCACTGCCACTGTCATCCGACATGTACACCTGGTGGATAACAGAACAAAATGAGGAGTCAGACTGCATGGTAAGCTGAGTCTACAACAAAAATATTTGACATTGATGCTCACGCTCACCTGCCAATCGCCGGGAAAGCACTTGATGAGGGTGACATCACGAGAGCGGATGCGGGTGCGTTTCAGACTGTAGACAGTAAGAAAGGTTTCCAGGAACTCTTCCGCTGATTTGCGCTTGCTTCCGAAACCAAAATCTGACACCACCTGCATGAAGAGAAAGTGAAGAGAAATGGATTAAAAGGGGGGTTTAAGGGAAGGAGCAGAGGAGAAGAATGTAATTACTGTCCATACTATTGTGTGTGGCACACAACCACACGCATAAGTGCGGGCATGAACATGTGCAGCTTCGCAAAGAGAACAAGTCATGCATCTTCACATGCACACACAAAAAGGACAAAGCAACCAACCTGGCCTGGCTGCCACTGGGGATTCATGAGCAGAAGCGTGCGCTCTGGCTCGCTATTGGCCAGCTCCATTACAGCTGGAAGGCGCTCAGCAGTCGGGAAGAGCACAAGTGCAACCTGCAGATTCGAGGTTGGGTCAGAGAGATGCAAAAGACCCAAGGGAATGGATGGAGGAGAAAAGGGGTAGGGGGATAAAAGTTTGGGAGCGGAATTTGTATGCACCGACGGTGAGGAGCACGGGAATGGGCGCATAGCGGGAATGGGCACTTAGAAGGAACGGAAAATGTTGAGGATGCGACCAGAAGCTCTCAGATAGGTCCAGGTACGGTGACATAGCAGCACACCAACCAGCTGTCTTGCTTTGCGGCACCTGAGAAAATATACCGTCTTGCTCTCCCACACCACCACTGCTTCGCACTCATCTATCACCCGGCACATGTAGAGCTCCCCACCGTCCACCAGCCCTGTCCGCAGCGACTGATGTTAGTCAATCGCACCTTTCTCATCAATCACCTACCGTCTTGCTCTCCCACACCACCACTGCTTCGCCCTCATCTATGACTCGCCGCGTGTAGAGCTCCCCACCATCCACCAGCCCTGTCAGCAGCGACTCCACCAGAGGAACGGCCGCCTGCAGCTGCTGCTGAATGCCACCCTGCAAGAGTGAATGGCAATATTGCGGAATGAGTGTGAGAGCTTTGGAAGGATTGGCTGAAAGGCGCCGATAGTCACAAGAGTGAAGGAGAATAACTCTCGAATTTCACAGAGACGTCCAGAAGCGATGACCCAATGAGTTTTGAGGCGTCCCAAATCCGGAATTTCACAGAGACTTACAGGCCAGTCGTCCAGAAGCGATGGCCCGATGAGCGGCAAGAGCAGCTCCAGCATCAGGAGCCGATGGCCTGCTTCCCTCGCCCTCCTCACTGATGCTCGAGCCTAGGCGCAGGGAGAACAATGATTAAAGCGGTACTGTAAGAATCAGAGCCTCATAGGAGTCGAAACAAATGGCCTGCTTCCCTCGCCCTCCTCACTGATGCTCGAGCCTAGGCGCGGGGAGAACAATGATTAAAGTGGTAAGGTGATAATCAGAGCCTCATTTGCCGTTCAGGGAAAAAAGGAGAGGGAAGGAATATCACGGGGGTTGGGTCAACCCTAGGAAGATGGAATGGCAAGCCTGATTTCGGATTGACTGAATGAGCGAACAGCAATCAGTGCTGGAGGGGAAAAGGTGCTGCTGGCTCACCTGTTGAACGCTCTGACTCACCTGTTGAACGCTCCGACTCACCTGCTGAACGCTCTGACTCACCTGCTGAACGCTCTCATCAACAGAATCCGGAACGGAGACTCTCCGTGCTTGACGAGGTACCTGGTGGCGACACACACCGCACGGAGGTGGGGGAACAAACAAAACGGCAAATGGCTTGAGTGGCCATTCATTTCAGGACAATTCATTCAATTCCATGAAGAAGCTAGAACTGAGATTTGGCTTTACGATGTTTGCCGAATTCGTTAGAGAACAAGGTTACTGCCACTGTGCTATCCATAATGGACTGGCGACTGTCGCATTGTCGCTCGTCATCTTTCAAATCCAGGAGATTTTTGCGCTGGGATGGCCTTACCCGTGGTGAAGCCTCGTCGGCTGACGCTTCTGCCCCTTCCGATGCAGCTCGGCAAACATTCAGTGACGCCCGACGCTTTGACCTATTCGTGAAATTCATGTTCCGAGCGCTTGCAATTTCGCCAGTGAAAGGACATTGTTGAGTTGTGAGGAGAGAAATGGATGCTCTAGATGCTGCTTGTCGTGTATTGGCGGATTGCGATGCCTGCTGTGGAAAAGGATGCAGAACCGGATTCGCACAGCGATGGAGAGACGCCATGCCAAGCGACAATACAGGTAGCTTGGCGGAAGCAGCTGATCGGTTAGGAATGCAGACTTGTGGACCCAACCGTCTCAGCGAAATGCCAGGTATATCTTTGTAAGTGAAGCAGATGGATGACTTGAGAGACGGAGGAGACGAGGCGAGATTCGTGAACCAGCGCAGCACACAGGTAAGTCTGATTGCGGTTCAGAAGGTGCTACGTGCTGAAAAACGGCCACCTAAACTCTAGAGCTGTTGAGTGCGGTACTTTGCGAAACCGTCGATTGGAGACCCGTGAAACTTGGAGATTGCTGAGGCAACATGGACCACTATGTATGGGGACGATCAGAAATATGTCGTCGAAAAAACAGATACATCAAACTAGGCGACTGAAACATTGCGTCTTCTGCGCTGTACTTGGAAGGGACACAGGGTCCAATTATGCGTCGCACTGTATCGATCATAAACGAGTTCCCGAATCTGAGCTGGCACATACATGCGTGGCACAACTGGAAATTAGCTAATCGGCCTCATCCACATCAGATCGTTGACACCTATCGGACCTGGCAGTGCCCGCTTATGATTTGGCAAAAATGCAAACACGTGCGGCAGAAAGTCCCTTCGGAGCTTGCCTCCAGGCTCGGCACAGGCTCGAGACGCAAACCACTGTGCCCCACCGAGCCAGTTTTTCCTTGGCCTTGGTGCGGGAACTCCATGCATGCCTGCTTGCACTTGAATCCCTGAAATTCAGACTTGCTTCACTCTCCACTGTCTTGGATTTCAACTGAAGCAGACTGGGCTTGATAATCACTCTCACACCATCAGGGCGAGAGTTTCGGCACATGCAGGATCAGCAGAACTATTATTGGCTCTGCTGGAACTACATTGAAATTCCCAGTTCCGAGATTCCTGTTTCTCCTGTCGTCAAGCCTTGAAAAATGGCTTCGCTTGTTCGTGCTCTTGGCAGCCGAGCCGGAGCTTCCTTGAGGGTTCGATCAGCAGTCCCTTACAGATCGTTCTCGAACACCACTAACCCAGCGGCGTCGTCAGAAGAGGAGCAGTTGCCGTTTGAGCAGGCCACGATTGCAGACATCTTGAGGGCTAAAGGAGCTGGCAACGACGGCTCCTGGCTCTGGTGCACCACGGACGACACCGTCTTCGATGCGGTGAAATCGGTGAGAATACTGCTGTACCAGCAACAATATCAGTGAGAAACAACATTGCATGCTTTTTATCCTCGTTTGCGTCCTCAAGAAATAATATTGCCTCACAGCGTCGCTCCTGCGGTTTCAGCTAAAGACGAATCGCTTTGTGATGGCTGGCAGATGACGAGCCACAATGTTGGTGCGCTTCTCGTGATGAAGCCAGACACAAGCGGAGCGATCGCGGGAATCGTTACAGAAAGAGGTCAGAATGCTCAGCGTGATTCGCCTTGTCGTTTTTCGTCGCCAGGTGCTCTCTGAAATTTCCACTATTGCTCTTGCTTCACAGATTATTTGAGGAAGATCATTATACAGGGGAGATCGTCAAAGACTACGAAAGTCGGCGATATCATGACCGAGGAGGTACGGGAAACATAAAGAATGAGTCTTGTATATTATTGGAAGAGAATAAAACTAAGAGAGTAAATATTAACGGTCTGTCTCCAATTTCTTGACATTTCAGAATAAGCTCATTACCCTCACACCTCAGACGAGGCTGCTCAAGGCTATGGAGCTGATGTCAGGTTCGTTTCTTTTTTTTCTTGTGCAAGCTTTTGTTTCCTAACCATTTCCGCTACTTACACTCGCCTGATATTTCTTGAGTGATTCGTATGGTGGTTACAGACAGAAGGATTCGCCACATTCCCGTGGTTGAAGGGCAGAAGATGAAAGGGATGCTCAGCATCGGCGATGTAGTTGCTGCCGTTGTGGAGGAGCACCGGGAGGAGGTGAAGCGGTTGAGCGAGTACATCAAGGGTTCCTACTGAATCCCCTCCATTCGGTACTTTCTAAGACTCTGAAATTGAAAAACAGCAGCTCCAGCCCCAATCGTGGTGTTCTCAGGCCATTGATGGATGAGCAGCTCGGTGGATGAGAAACCTCTAGTGAGCAGCTTCTCCTGGTGTCGTCAGTGCAAGACTGATGTACATAGGTGTGGGTTGTGTTCGGAAGCTTTTATATTCCGAGCGCTGTTATGCCTGCTTGCAATTGCAACTGAGTTGTACCTGTTGGCTTGTACCAAATTGAACCAGGAAAATGCTATCAGCTGACAAAATGCTATCTAAAGTGTAACCACACCGAACTCTTCCCCACTAAAACCGTACTGACCTAACAGCTGGACGAATCTTATGGTACATAGTAACATAACATGATGATCCATCGACAGCAGCAGTCAATGCGACTCCATATCACTGGAGCTGCTCACATCATCCTAGACCAGCATGCTTACACTGCTGCTGCAGTCGCCTCATTGTCTTCCGTAGCAGCGTAGGGTTGTTGGTAACAACAACGTCAACAGGCAACCCAAGAACTCTCCTCATGCCAGCCCTGTCATCTACAGTCCACACATGCACCTTCTTGCCTCCCCTGCAGGTAGCGAGACAGTGGATAGTGGTAGTGAAACCATGAGCAAAGTGAACTTACAGAAACTCACAAGCAAACATGACTTGTGAGGACACACTCACACACAAAAAAACACACACGTCACCTGTGCCTCGTGGTCGCTACACTTACTTATGAGCATCGTTGATGGTTTGTAGTGTAGCCAGGCTTTCAGCCAGCCCCACCACGTGTGACGACTCACGGCGAAGCAGCCCATTAACCACCCCAGTCTTGAAGTTCCTGTAGACTATGTACCCAGTCTGCCTGTGCCCACACACGGATGCAAGCGCATGTACATAATCAATGTATACATAGACAAATATACAGTACATTCTTCAAGTGCACACACACCAATGAAATCACTGTATCTGTCGATCAGGCAATGTCTCACCTTGATGGATGGTTGGATGCGTGACAAGTGGCGGATGAACTGATCCTCCTTGGACCACACAAGGCACTCGGAGCACCCACCGACCTTTTCAAACTGCCAAATGAAGAAGAAAAGAAAGAGGCAAACTTTTGGCTGTGCTTGCAAAGTGATCGACTGATCGACCAAGTGATCGAGTGATCGACCAAGTGATTGAGTGATCAAGTGATTGAGTGATCAAGTGATCGAGTGATCAAGTGATCAGATGATCGACCAAGTGATTGAGTGATCAAGTGATCGAGTGATTGAGTGATCAAGTGATCGAGTGATCGACCGAGTGATTGAGTGATCGACCAAGTGATCGAGTGATCAAGTGATCGGGTGATCGACCAAGTGATTGAGTGATCAAGTGATCGAGCGATCAAGTGATCGAGCGATCAAGTGATCGACTGAGTGATTGAGTGATCAAGTGATCGGGTGATCGACCAAGTGATTGAGTGATCGAGTGATCGAGTGATCGACTGAGTGATTGAGTGATCGACCGAGTGATTGAGTGATGAAGTGATCAAGTGATTCGTATCACACATACCGAGTCGACCTTGGGGTTAGCACTAGTGGCAGTAAGTTCTGCGGGCCAAGTGTTTCGACCCCCTCTTGGCTTACCACGCTCACCAGCCGCTATGTGATGGCTAATGGACTCGTGGCAAGTGGACTCATGGCTAATGGACTCTACCCTTATTGACTTCCCCACACTACTCCTCTCTTCCCCTCGTGGCTTACCACGCTGACCAGCCGTTGTGCCATGTGCCTGTTCTCAGCGATTGCTGACGTGGCAATCTTGACATCCACAGTGATGTGCTTCACTCGGTCAATCAGAGCCTGCCAGAAATGATCCGTAAGATTACGGAGAAAAAGAAAAAGAAGATACGAGAAAAATGATCCGTAATGTGATACCACACCTGTAGTGCTTGCTGCAGTGTCATAAAAGGGACACGCTCGGTTGCAGCAGAGGAGCCATTACGGGGAGAGGTGGCGGGTCAGAGCAGCGATACGTCCAGCTGGCGTATCCGAGTAACATGTCAGCTAGACATAATTGCACCTGTAGTGCTTGCTGCAGTGTCATAACAGGTACACGCTCGGTTGCAGCACTGAGGTCATCACGACGAGAGGTAGCGGGCCAGAGGGACGATAGGTCCAGCTGGCGTATCCGAGAGAACACCAGAGAGGAGACCCGAGCTGATGGGTCGTTCAGAAGGGACTGAAGCTCCCTGTATGAAGGGGGGAGGGCGCGGGGGGGGGGGGGGGGGGGGGGAGGAGAGGTAGCGAGCGGGCCAGAGTGATGAGAGGACCAGCAATCCGAGCAAAGACAAGGGAGGAGACCGGCACAGACAGATCGTTTAAGAGAGACTGGACCTCCCTGTGTGAGGTGGGGAGCGGGGGGTTGGGGGGGGGAGGGGGGGGGTGGGGAAGCAGAGGTAGCAAGCCAGAGGGATGAGAGGAGAGGACCGGCAATCCGAGTGAGCACAAGGGAGGAGACCGCCGCAGACAAATCGTTCAAGAGAGACTGGACCTTCATGGAGGAGGGGGGAAGGGGGGGGGGGGGGGAATGAGTGGCAGCCCCCCGAAGAGATGGGAGGTCCAGCTTTTGTAGCAGAGGGAACACGAGGGAGAAGACTCGTGCCAATGGGCCGTTGAGGAGAGACTAAACTTCCCTGGAAGCGGGGGGGATACGCATGCGACGCGTTCACCAGGTGTCCATCAGCACTCAGCGACGCGTCCACCTCCCCCTTACAGTCACGCCATCCCCCATCCCATACACCACTGACGCCCCCCCTCCTCCCCTCCCCCCTCCTCCCTCTTCCCCCCGCCTACCCCTCTCACCTGTCATGTAGCGCCACCAGGTGCCCATCAGCTGTCAGCGACGCGTCCACCTCCACTGCATCTGCCCCCACCGCCACTGCCCTCTCAAGCGCTGCCAGCTGGCAGACGGGCAGGCGGGAGGAGAGAAACAAAGGAATAGAAACATAAGACGACCAAGGGCGGGTGGAAACGGATGGGAAAATCCCATGAGCGCGCAAAACGCGCTCAATTTGTCCGCCGAGTTGGGAGGGGCGGAGGCGGAATCCCCCCATGCCCGCGCACAAGAGAAGAGGCGGGGTGGGAAGGGGGCAGGGGGGAACCGCGGGGGGAGGGGGGGGGGGGGGGGCGGGCGCACAGAAGGTGGGGGGGCGCACAGAAGGGGGGGGGGGCAGGGATGCTCACCGAGTTGGGAGGGGCGTAGGAGGAATCGCCCCCATGCGCACACAAGCGTGCGGGGGAAGATGGGGGAAAGGGCGGGGGGGAGGGTGGGGGGAACAGCGTCGGGGCGTGGGGGAGGGGGGAGGGAACGCTCACCGTATTGGGAGGGGCGTAGGAGGCATCGCCCCCATGCGCGCACACTAGAGGAGGGCTCTTAATCATTCTCTTGCAGATCTCGTGTTTCCGAGCCACGTCAGCACTGGGCTCCTTATTCTCTCCACCAATCGCGTCCGCTTTACCTGCCCCTTTCCCTTCCTCCCGCGTTCCTGCTGACGTGGCATCAGTGGATCCATCCAATAAGAAATCGGCGTCATCATAATCATCCTCGTTATCAGCATCTAATAAAGATGGAGCCTTGTTGTTTCCCCCACTATTGCTGATGCTGCCGGTGCCGGTGTTGCTGCTGCCGCTGGTGAAACGCTTATCCGTCCCTTGATCCGCCTTCCCTGCATTTCCGTTCGTCTCAGTCACTTTTTCCGACAGCGTTAAACGTTTTCCGTCTTCCGTTAGCGGTCGCTGCAGCAGCTGCAGTCGCCAGAGCAAAAGCAGGGAGCCGCCGAGCGACAGAACGAGGAGGAAGAAGAATGCGTTAAAGCGTGTCGCACGGCTTGTGCGAAACGGGCGACCGCTGGCGAAGGGCGTGCGACGATGCTGGCGGGGAAGTGAGGAGGGCGACTGGAATAGCGGTCGCATGGCTTGAGCGGCTAGCTCATAAAATTGTGGCCCGGGAAGTTGACATTAGGCCCCAAGATAGAGAAGAAAGTTAAGGATGTGAAGGGTAATTTGCGGTATGAACAGATGCGTTATAGTGGGAAGGTCAGTAATAGAATCCTAAAAGACAGGCCTAACAAATTTTGATTGGATTTTTATACACGACATCATACTTGCTGTAACATTCGCCGCTGTCTCCAACCCTGCAGATACCGGTAGCTCTCCGCCATCTCTCCTATCAGGAACTTTTATCTCTGCAATGTGAAGCTTAGGACCTTCACTTCCAAGATCTGAGTATACATTCGGGATCAGGCCCCCAAATTGGTTTTGGGCCTGTCTCATTCGTCAGAGTCCACTGCATTCCCTTGGTATGGGTGTCAGAGTTACCTCCTTGAAAAAGTCTGAACAATCAGAGTAGCCTTCAATTTTTTGTCTGACCAATCAGAGTCATAGCCAAACTTTTGTATGAGCGTTTTTTATGGTTTTTCATTAGAGAATGCACTACATTTCACTACATACACGGAATCATTCAATATCCTGCATATCCTGCTGAGGCGCTGCTGGCATATCATCATCTACTTTCTCCTTTCCCTTCCTGCTGCTACTAGCCTCGGGTAGGGCGTTGCTAAGGGGCTTCCTCTTCTTATAAGCCCGCCAGATGGTGACCACCTCTTCCCAGTCGGGGTCATACTTTAGCTGCGACATGCACATCAGATCTCCTAGCCTAGTATCCTTGAGAGCCCCCCGCAGCCAACTCTTGATGACGTTCTGGCGGGAGAACCCGCGCTCGCACTCGACAGTGCTCAACGGAAGGACAGCCACCGCCACCCACAGGTTGACCAGGTTGGGGTAGCTGTCCCTCCAGTCCTGCGTCTTGAGCATGGCGCTCAGCCCCGTGTGGAATGACTTGTCCGCCTTGGGAAGCGCAGCAAGGACGGGGACGAAGTTGCGGAGCTCGCTCTGGGCTTTGCGCTTGTCTATACCTACTCAGACAAGGGCACACAAGGAGAGGGAGAAGGGTTGGGTTATCGGAAACAGTACACAGCTAGTAAAATATTGGTGTCTTGTTTCAGATACATTGCAAAAGGGATACTGAAAGGAGTAGATGGTGATTCACCTGGCAGAATCTCGTCCCTGTCTTCAGCGCGGTAGATGACCACGAGCGAATTGAACCACTCGAGGCACTGCGTCCTCCGTGCCTGTCGGTCCCAGTTGGGCGGCCATGTGTCCGCGCTGAATAGGCGCGCTCCCGACAGCTGCCGCAGATCGCCTATGCGCTCGTCAAGGTTGCGGACCAGGCCCTCCGCTAGAGCCATGCACGCCACGACACTCCCATCGTGGTCGCTGGGCCCCGGGTAGTCCTCTTCTGGCTCTTCGTGTAGCTCGAAGGTGAACCGTGAAGGTCGGCCATCGCAGTCAATCCCCTCCACTGTCACCAGCGTGGACTTGCCGGGCCCGTGCTTGGCGAGGAACCACGTCAATCGATCATTGGGCCCGCCGGTGAAGTCGTCTCCGCAGTCCACGTAGCGGCTCTCTAGCAGCGAGGTCGTGCGGATGATCTGCGCGTGCACCGTTGTGTAATCCAGCTGGTGGGTAGGGGGGCAAGGAGAGGTAGGGCATCACAGACGGATGTGTGATTAAGGGACGAGCGGCAGAGACAAGCAACATCGACATGCATGCAAACACAAGCATTTAACATATTTACCTCCCGCTCCTGGAAGACCTTGTTGAGGACATTCAGCAGCTCCAGCACGTCGGCGAGGAACATCAGGAGGAGCCAGAAGCGGTAACTGGTGACGAGCGCGTACAGCTTGGCGTCGTACTCCTGCAGCATGACCACGATGGCTAGTAGGACCTCGACCAGGCGGATGACCGCATCTCCGTGCGACAGCTAGCAGATGTTGTGGATGCCCTGGAGCTCGAGGTTCGTCGAGATGAACACCTCCTGGAGCTGCAGGAACCGTTGATGCCAAGGGTTGGAGCGACCGAGCAGCTCAGCGATCTCGCGAATGATGTTGTCCACCATGCTGAAGACAGGGATCTCCTTGGCAGCAGCCTTTGCCGCCAGCACCTCTCTGCAATGGGATAAGGAGATGAGATGCAAACTAGGAAGCAAATTAGGGATTGGAATTATAAACAAAACAAGAAGCAAATATACATAACATGCATACAGCAAACGGATGACGAACCGATGGGCAATGCAATGGCAAGAGACAAGGTGCGGAACGCGAAGTCGAAGGCGGGCCACAAGTCCAGAGCGCGATCCCATCATGACGACAGCGCCGTCAGTGCTTATGCCAGAGATGCGGCCGAGGTCGACGCCAATCGCCTGCAGATGGGACAACAAGAGGGCGAGAAGCGATGCCGCATCCGCCTTCTCCACTATCAACAGAGCCAGGTACTTGGTTACAAGCCGCCCTTCCCGGATGAACGTGGCAAACACGATCATGTGCTTGCCACGGCAGCGATCGGTGCTTTCGTCGAGGCTCAGGCCAATGTAGGGACTCGCCAGCAGGTGTTGGAGTTGAGTCGTCTGCAACCACGTTGCCGTCGCTTGTGTCAGCTCGCCGAAGCCGTACCTATTACATGACACGCACAAGCCAAGTTGTTGTATGTTACAGTGGCGGATTAAATTGTCCACATGTTCAGCCTTTTTTGGCATTTTGATGAGTGCAGCGGCGTAAACATTAAGCCTTAATGTATGGTGTGCATACACGCTGAGAAGATCAGTTAGAGCACTCACTCGAGTTGACAAACACCAAAGTAGTACCACACATGGTCCTTAAACACCTAAGCATAGCATAGGATAACATCCGGACAATTTGTACCGAAAACATGTAGCATACTAGATTCTAGGAAAACTAGTACCTAGTCCAGCGTCCCTTTGCTCGAATCACTGCCTTGATCCTCCTCGGCAGGCTGTCGATCAGGTTTGCACACACCTCCGCCGGTATCTTGTCCCATTCCTCCTGCACCCTCTCCCACAGCTCCAGCATTCCACTTGGCGGCTTTTCGTACTTCCCCAGCTGCCTTTTCAAGTGTGCCCATAGGTGCTCAATCGGGTTAAGGTCCGGGGAGCACGACGGCCATTCCAGCACCGCGTACTCCTGCTCCCCAAGCCAGTCTTGGACCAGACGAGACCTGTGCTTGGGATCATTGTCGTGCTGGAAAATGACCTCTGAGGGGGAAAGCTTGAAAAAATCGATGGTCTGTTTGAGCTCATCTTACAAGATGCTGCGATACAGCGGCCCATCCATCCTGCCATCTATCTTGCACATGAACCCCGCCCCCTCATACGTCATGCAACCCCACACCATCACAGAACCGCCCCCATGCTTAACTGTCTGTTGGACTTGATGGCTCCGAAGGCTGGTGCCCTCGCGAATCCAGGCGTACGCACGTCCGTAGGAGCAGTAGCGGTTTATCTTTGTCTCGTCAGACCAAATCACCCGCTTCCAGTCGTCCAGCGTCCAGTCGGCATGCGACCGCGCGAAGTCGAGACGATCTCGGATGTTTTTCGGTGAGAGCCTGGGTTTCTTGGGTTGATGCACGGCGATCAGCCCCGCGGATCGTAATGAGTTCCGGACCGTCTTCGAGTCTACGGCGAGACCGTGCTTCTCCAACAACATATTTGCCGCGTCTACAGAGCTTTTTGCCTCCCCGCTAGTAATCGCGCGTATTATTCCGCTCTGGAGACGGGTAGTGATTAAGCGGGGGCGGCCGGCCGAATGCATCGTAGGTCGCACCTCCTCGAGACTAGTCTCAGCAGCGAGTTTCAAACCGTAATCGTGCACGGTGCTCTTGCCTATGCCAAGAACTTTGTCTATTTTCCTAGTCGAATGCCCCGCACGCAACATGCTTATGATCCTCGCGCGCTTCCGCTCATTTAACGACTTCATAGCGATGCGGTCGTAGGCTCGCTTCCGGACTAACTCCTAAGCCAGCAACTGTTGCGCATGACGATGTACACACCGAGTGACGGGGGAAAATAGATCTACTCTTCTGCTCGGTAGGATATGTCCGCATCGATAGTCGAGGAGTAAATTTCAACCCCACTTTCCGGTAGTGTCACAATCGCGCCAAGCAAGAAACGGTTGAAGGAAAACTCGAAAACCTTGTAACGGAATGGCAAAAAACGGGTGTTACTATTTTCGAAACATGTGTGGCATAGCGATACGTTACAAAGTGTTAAACATCCGGGCAATTTAATCCGCCACTGTACATATGTAAAGACCACACAAAGAGAAGTTCGTAGTCACTGGAGTTCTCACCAGTTATAGTACGTGCCGTAGGCAGACTTTGGGAAGCCCTTGAAACTGCACGATGAGAGGTATCGCACCAAACGAATCCATGTTTCCATGGGTTCGTTACACTTGGTGCAGAAGTAGAGGGAGTCGAGCAGCGCGATGACTCGCTCCTTCTCTTCGTCGGCCGTGCGAGGATGCTTATCGATCCGCTGCTGGTTCGTCGCCAGCTGCAAGAGATCGTCCTGCTTGGACATGGCGAGGCGATGCTTCTGCGTCCCGGCGTGCTTCTTGAACGACTGGGTCTGCACGTCCGTCGCTCCCTTGCCCGATTTGCCGGTACGTCCTGCGGGTCCTGCATGCACTGCGCATACTTTGCACTTGAAGGCCGGGAGCCCATCGTCAGTTTTCAAGAGCATGAGCCAAGGGAATCTGTCAGACCAGCGAGATTTGAAATGCTCTTGTGCCTCAGCATAGATGTCCTCGTTTGTTCTAGCAGTGGACCTACCGCCAGACGATTCTGGCATATCCGCAGGTACAAAGAGGCTCGGCACAGGCTCACGCGGGCAGGGGGCTTGCATCCGCAGACTTCTTGCCCGCTGCGTCGGGAACAGGCGCATCGCCATCAGCAGGGGCAGCGTCACTACGCTTCCTCTGAGGGCTACGAACCGAGGCATCCGACTGCCGAAGGAAATTTAGCGCGGCGGGACCATCGCGGAAATTCTCGGCACACCAGTACTCTTCTTCTTCTTCGTCATAATCTGCCTCGTCTAC